ATCATTCACTACTAATGCTCCATTGCCGTGCACACATTCTTCTCAGTTAATATTCCAACTTTGATAATGGACAAAATATTATGTTGTCTTTCTTTGTTCTAAGCATTTTGATCTATTCAACATTGGTCCGTGATAACACAATAAACTATCACACAATTAAAACAAATAATATTATCATCAAATTTTCTACATAACTGAACTATACTTATACATTTGAACAACCTTTTAAATTTGACTTCCTTGTCATCTATTGAAAATACTTCTTTATTTTCATTGTGAGGAGCAATCCAATTTGAAATTTTTACTTTTTAAAGATTTTTTTACAGGTACCTACACATTTGTTTTATTTTTAAGTTTAGAATTTTTTTTTTATTTAATACAAATATGTTATTATTTTATCTATGCATGATGTAATGTACTAATATTTTATATGACTTACTTTATAATATACCAATAAAATTATAATGTGTCTATTGATTTTTAAAAATAAATAATAAATTATACTCGTATATATCCAAATTTATTTTTTTCAATTGTTCTTATTTTGAGACAAAAACATTTTGAAAATTTATTTTTCCACTATATCATTCTATATCCATATGGTTATTTTAAGTTGATTTTTATATATTTTGAACTTGCACTATAATAGTAGTCATTTTTGTTACTTTTTAATATGGATTGCAGATTTCGATAACTTGATCCAATAATTATTTTTGTGAAAGCTTTTAAAATATTACCATTGTATATATATAATATATAGTCAATGGTATTGAAATATAGTGTGGGTATCTATAATATGGTAGGCACTATGTAGTACTAACCAATATTATTATTTTTTATATTATAAAATTTAAAATAAATATATTGCTTTTTTTACTTTCTCTACTTATCTTTTTGACGGCGTAAGTAATTACTGATTTTACGACGAAGGTAATATTATCCATATAATAATTGCTGCGGAGTGGCACAAGTCCATTAGTACTAATAATATAAAAAAAATGATGGAAATCAAAATAAATTCATTTTAGCCATATACTAAATTTCAAAATATACTATTATTGACATAAGCACAATATAGATACGTATAATGTAAAATATGAGAACATTTTTTGTTTTAGATTAGGGACTGTTGTATGATTTCACAACATACACTTTGAAGTATTAGTGTTAGTTACTATTAGGAAATAATAATAAGAAATAGTGTTTTGATAGCTATTATGAAATAGGTTTAGTTAAAAAATATAAATAGGGAGGTGACAAAAGAGTCGGTGAGTCATACGATGTCGTGCAGGACATAGTTTTGTTATAAAGTAGAGTATTATTCTATAATATTTTTGTTACAAAAATATTAGGTGTAATGTTAATAATATTATTATTTTCAGTATTTTAATTTTATCAATAAGAATAAGAACAAAGCAAGCATAAAAACAAGATAAATTTCTTTTTTTCTATTGATAATTATTATCAAGTAGTATTTGTAGACTAAACTAAAATTTATCAGTGAAATTATTTAAATAATATAAGTTATCCGTGAATTGACAAATTGTTTATTAAAATTAAATTAATACAAATTCTTATATTATTAACTGTTTTTATTTATTTATTTATTTAATTATTTATTAGAATAAACGTCAGTTGGCTTTGTACAAATAATATATATAGAGTATAATTTAGGATATAAAGTAACAGTATTTTTTACATTAGATTTATTTAAATAAGTATTTTTATAAGTTTAGTTAGTAAGTAAGTTTTTTTTGTGTAAGTTTATAAAATTTATTTGTGATTTGAATGTAAATTAGATATGTTGGTATTAAAATATAAAATAAACTAAGTAAATTGCAAGCAATTTCAGACTTAATAGTTGCTTTTCTACATAGGTTGCTTTTTGTGAGTTTGGTTAACGAGCAATAGTAAAATCCTGAGTACGCTACTATACCTAGGTACCTTTTTTTTTGGAAGAAGAGGAAAACAGTATCTTATTTTAGCAGGAAATTTTTGTAATGTCTTTTTTTTTCAACTTTTATGTTGTGAAATACATTACCCAATATTTAATTCAAGGTTACCTACAGTTACATGAAATTATATTAACATAGTATAATATTATAAAACTGTTTTTAAATTGAGATATTTTTTTAATATTAGGTATAAATAAACACAATTGTATTGATTTTTTTTTTTATCAATTTGGGTTTTTAAAAACATAACCAAGTATAGATAAATATTGGCAACTAAAGGTGTTATTTAGTTTTTAAAATGTATTATTTTATATGGATACAAAACTCAATATAAAATAAAAACATTTTAATTAACTTAAAATCTTAACACGTAACACAAAAAAAAAAACAACTTAATTCTGATTACCAGTTCAGTTGCAGCTCGAAGACAAAACTCAACTAAATCTAATTATAATATTTATTTTGATAGTAATGATTAATAAATTAGCCCATATTTACTTATATGACGTATCTGTTCCGCATGATCTGAACCTATACGATACGTGTGTTGTGAATTATTGTCACCCGTCAAGGGTGTATTGGATAGAAAATAAATCATTTACAAAGCGAGTACATTCCCAAACTTTTCAACACAACAAAATTATACGAATTAATTCACTGTGAATTATCTTTAAATCTATTTCACTGTTAACAGACGAAAAAATCAAATATATCATTAAACTATATCTACCTAATATTAGTTTATTTAATGGGATAAATAATAAACGATGTTGGGTCGTATTTTTCCTTTCACCCTTGATAAGGCCTATAGGTATAATACGACGAATTTTCGGGAATCACCCGATTATTGCGGTCTACACAAATAAGCTAACATGATTGCGTCATAGATAATATGAAATTTACACATAAATTTAATGTTTAAAATTATTAGTTTACAGACACTTCATATTCCTATACCTATATCTATACTTGAATTTTTTCGAAATTCTAAAACAATGCTAAACCGATGGTTGTGTTAATTATGTATTGCTATTTATTTTATTTACGTGTTGACTTTTTTATGACTGATTAAAACAAATTTTAGTTATATATTTTGTGCAATGATGTTAAAAAAATAAAAATATATATATACATATATACAATAAAATAAACTATTTGATAACGTAAAGGGGAGTTGTAAATTACCCTTTAATTTGTATTTGAATTTTAAATAATTACAATGGCCAAATGAAATAGATATGTTTTGCAAAACTCCCTTGAAATTGTTTCTGCGTTCGCCCTTGATCTGAACCATCTATATTTGGCCATTATCTACACTTTCTATAATAATACTTATATTTATTTGGGACGCAATCGAGGTACCTGAATTCGGGCCGAATTTCGCTAGTTGTGAAAACATCGATAAAGAACAAAATATTTCACTGAAGTTGCAAACCGTTTCCCACTCAAAATATCATAACTCCGCAATTTCATATACGGTTTTTGTTGCATTATCGCTCCACTATACGTGAATTTTTCATTTCGAAATATCATCTATCTTACGACGTAGCATTTTCCATTTTCCACCCTCTCTTTTTAATTTCTATAGGTTTTCATGTAGAACACGGACACCGACTTCTTTGTGAACGTGGACGATATTTTTTCAACATCGGTGTTATAGCGCGGCTACAATTCCCTTACAAATCGTTTTTCCGACAACCGGATGCTATTAGTACGACAAGACCAGAATTTTAGATGCTGGTGAAAATGTACAATCGGTTCGTATAATATATTACCTATACTTATACGTCATTAAAGTAATAGAAATACATCGATATAATTTTAATCTAATATTATAAACCTATACTCAAACAGCCAAATAGCTAGTGAAGTATTCTTTTTCACAAACAATAAATATTGGTTCTTAATAATATGTGTAATAGTATAATATTTTATAATTATTTTATATAAATTACATAGGTACTATATAAAATACAATATGACACGTAGTAAGAGTATATTGAACAATTAATATACTAATGCGTAACACAATTGACGAGGATAAAAATAATAGGTACTATAAGCTTATTAATATTAAAGGTTTACAATTTCAGTACATATTTCCATTAATTATAATGTATATATATCTAAAATAAAATGACACTACTACAGAGGGAATAATTAATAATATTATTTTACCGGCGGCCATAGTAGGGGGGGGGAAAGTTTAAATTAACTAAACAATATTTTTACAAACAACGTAATAATAATACTACTACTACTACTACTACTACTAATAATAATAATAATAATAATAATAATAATAATAATAATAATAATGATAATAATCAATAATCTCGTTGATACTTACATAATTATGTATTAAATATATAAAGTGTTGAAAATATAATATATAAACAGAATCATTTTAGACTCGTTAGCATGATTAAAAACTACAAATTATACAATAATATTAATTATTTAATTATTAGGTATAATAAATGCAACCTATATTATTATAAACTCCGTACATTATAATAATATAATGTTTGATGTTTCCGTTTACATTTTTAAAAAAAAAAAAAAAAAAAAAAAAAAAAACTTTTTTTCATTAACTGTATAGGTACTTATATAATACTATATTGTAGTAAACTCAAGTACACACACGCAAACACGAAAAAACATAATTTAAATAATTTAATTGTAACCGAAACTATCATCGATTATTTGAGTTGTATAAAGGGTTTCAATCAACTACTATTCAATTATACTTATACTGCATTTAAGACGATTTCGTGTCAGTAATTGAGTACCAGGATACTTGCTGTCATGAGTAAAATATAATACAAGCGGGTTGTATACTTGGTTAAATACTTTAATAATTAGTTGAATATTGATATTCCGGGCGATATTGTGATATACATTTTTCAAATATACAAAATTCATTTTTAGATATTGGAAGTGCATCAAGCGAAACAAACATTATTCCTGTGATTTTTGCTTTGTTACCAAATAAAACACAAATTACTTACAATCTATTTGTTCGCTTAAAATAATATAATTTTCAGAAATTCAACCCTTGTACTATTTCAATGAATTTTGATGCTGTAACTTTTTAGGTAATAATTGAACTAATTATTTTCCCGATTAAATATTCAAATAAGTAACTGTAATGAAACTTCAAACAAGAATTATAGATAAAATCACAAAACTCAGGCCTGAATGAATATAAACAAGTTAAGATCTATACATTAATATGTTCTGCCTTTACATATATCAGTGGCATATTTGAGGGGGAGGGCAATAGATGGATCGTAACCTCCTTGAAATTTTTTGGCTGTGATTTTTCAATCACGGCTATAGCTCTAATAGGCAATTAAATAATATAGTATTTATAACCGTATTATTTATTATTTCTTGGGTATTTTTATCAGCGTTACTAAAAAGTAGTTATAATGATATAACTAAGGCAATTTTTTGTCTAAAATACATAACATACCCGGGCAAAACGCGAAATGTCCACTATACTTATGCAAAACGTCATATTTCGGCTTTTTTCCGGACAAATCTATATAGTAAGTGATTATCATTTGGGCAAAACCATATCGTATATAATTTCGATTTCTCACATTTCTAAAATTTGCCCGATTTCGACTTTTGATCGTAACATATATAATATAATTAACATATCATAGTGTTTTTTTTTTTTATATATATATATATTATTAACTATAGTTTATACTTATTAACTATTTTTTTTAATTGCCAAGGAGAGGAATTATGTTTAAAAAAAAAAAACTGTTGCTTTTTTTTTGGAACGAGGAAAGCCCCCTCGCGCTATTTTGTAGTGTATTACAATTTTTAAACTGCTTGCTTCTTGATTGAGCTCCAGATACGCCACTGACATACATACATAATTTTTTTTTGATAGTTAAAGGAAATATAAATGTAAAAATTAAAAAAGTATATTTATTTTCTAATTTATCATTCTCATTCCCAATATGTAAAAGTAGTAGTAAACACCTTACTTGTGTTGTATTTTTTATTATGACCCGATACAAAACCACCCGCGAAAAGTGTTCTAAATGACACGAAAAAGTCTTGATCGTGAATGTACCGACCGCATCGGCGCTCACATAACAAACCCTTCGTGGGTATATTAATTAAACCGAAAACGGTATTGGAAGTTTATTGATTAGTAGGTGTGTTGTGTAAATATATTATTTATAATTATTCCGTATTTATGTTAATTATTTTAAAGTCAATTTTTTTCACTTTTAAAGTATTGTTGTAAAAGTAGATACCTAAATTTATTAGCAATAAGTACTATTTAGGTGTCCGGTAAATGGAACAAGAAAGATACTCAGTACAGTTCAAATTAGAAGATGGAATACGACTGAACACGTTCTGAGATAAATATATGAGCTTCTAAATATTATAAAAGACGAGAGGAAAAAAAATGGCAAAAGAGACTGAGGACGACCAAGAATATCATATAATAATGATATGATTCCTGATGCGGCGCTGACAAATTACAGAGAAATGAAGAGGATAGACAGTGATAGAAAAGAGTGGAGAGAATATGGGAACCTCCAATAGTATAACGTATAGCGTTGTGCGTGTAAGGCGGGTAAACGGTTTACAGACACTTTATGCGGGACAGTTCATCGCCAATACTTCATCTCCTAAATATTTCGTATTATCGCATAAGACACTTTATCGCATGAAATATTATTAATTTGGAGGGATACACAGGAATGTAAATGTAGAACTATTTATTCAGAACGAACACGTTAAGTACAAAATATGTATTTATTTTTATTGTTGTTTTATAAAATCTATCGTTTTACCTCTCGCATTTATACACTGCAATAATACGGGGAATTCTGTTACAATATTATAGTACAACTTACAATAGTGCCGCGTCTAATCGAATTTATTTGCGCGGTTATCATATTTAAAAATTACAAACGGTGTGTGTCAGCAAGTTCATTTTGTATTTATGTTTTGTAGCTTTTAAGCGGTTTTACCGATTTCTGAATTTTTATATTATAAATTAACATATTTAAATCCATTTCATCATTCGCGTTTTGCGATGATGTGTCTCGTGGTGAATTGGTTTCACGAGAAAGTGTCGTGCGATGAACTTTCCTACGATAAAGTGGCTGCATACCAGGTACATGAGGCAAAAAGAAGAATCTGGAGGAATCACGATTTAATTATTTAATTTATTTGATGTGTATGATGAATCTATAGGCTGGACTGTACAAGAGTGAGTGCCTACTACATCGAATGATAAACTAAAGGCAGATACTTATTCATAATTACAGATTGACAGATTGTAAAAGACACGGGGTAAAATAAAAACCGATGGAATTGAAAACCAAACCATGCGCAATAATAGAGAGTCACGGAGTATGTCATTAGTTGTAATCAAACGAAAGATTGATAACTATATTACTACAGTGCACGAGAAGAAGACGCACCATAGTAAAGAATACGAGAATGACGGTAACCTAATACTCATATCACCCTCCCAATCAGCACACTGAATATTGCACGAGACCATGTTCGGAATTTTGTGGAAACTTTATCAATAGATACGAAAATCGTTGGTCAGAAACATACGTATATCGCGACACGTTACACTGCGTCGTTTTGGATTTTAATATATTATTTAATTTTAATGATTCTCTACTTTTACTGCTTTTGTTATTTACTTTATTGTTGTTCAGGATTTATGGTACCACAGAGGAGTGGGATGAGCCCCGCACGACCGTACCCTAAAGTCCGGCGGGAGATAAATTTTCCTGCGACTGACGGTTATATTATAATTATTATAACGAACTCGAGAGAAATATCGAAAATATACACCAATAGCGAATAATGAATGATAATAAAAAATAATACGAGTAATATACTGTTCACGTAACAGTATATTAAGTTATTATAAAATGATTGTATTTAATAATACAAATATGTTCACGAAGGTAACGACAATAATAATTAATGTAATAATAATGTACGTTTATACGAATAGAATTATTATTAAAATACATATTTAATAATGGATGCTAAACAATTAACAATAATCGATTATAATAACATCTATGTGGGGTACCTACTCTATACTACGATGCACCTATATCTATACGTGTCTAGAGCTACGCAACGGTCGATTGAAATAGAAACCGTCCTAAATTGTATATAATGCGCGCGCGCGCGCTACATAATGTGTGCGTTTAGAACGGTAGACTGGCGATAAACATGTTTTCGATAAGCGGCGGGGCGGGCACCAGGTCCTCGAGTTTTAAGTAGAATATCCTCTGGAGCCCTTGGACGCTTAAGGACCGCAACTCCGGGAGTTTGGCGAGCAATCTAGAGAAATAGTACGACTTGCGTTGCGAATCGGACATGCTATACGTAATGTGCTCCCTCAGGGCGTTGATGATTTTCATCTGGATCTGTTCCGCTTTTTTCGCCTCTTTGAGTCCGTGACGTTCTGTGCGATATACATATATATATATACATGAAAAAAAAAAAAAAAAATTAAACTCCGTTATGTCGTATACGGGACACTGTTGTACGTCTATGATAATAATAATTCTGTTATCAAAAAAGTGGTAATCCTGATAACTGATTGTTGATAATTATTTATTGGAGTCAGCGCTGTTTAGTGCTATAGTTTTAGTTACCCAAACTTATGCGATATAAACTACCTAACATATTATTCCTAAGTAACTTGTTTATGTTATAAATAAAATAAATTGTTAATGTTTACAAAATGTATTAAGAAATTATTAATATTATAAAATTATAAATTTAAAAAATATCGTAGTATAATATTTTAAATATTTATCTTATATTTAATATGTATACCTATAAACCTAAACTTCTCAGAAAGAAGAAACGAAACAAAAATGTTTTAATAACATTTTGAAATTTGTTTTATCAAAAACGTAATACTCAAAATCTTTTTAAAAACGTAAACCGAAAATTATATTTTTATATTAAAAAAAAATTTATATCAAAAACGAAAAAATGAAATAAGTTTTCTATCCTTGTAATTAAGCTTATAACCCGCGTAGTTTTTGCTAGAGCGAAACGGATTTTCCAAAAACATTTGTGTTAATTTCGAGATTTCACAATAATTATTGATGATAATGATACGGGACTATTACTTGTAAATGTTTTAGAAAGTATATATTCTTGAGCAGATAAAATTATATTTTATGAATAATGTCGAAAAAATTGCCTATACGCAAACGCCCAAATACGGGATATATAGTACATCATCATAATTAGTTAATAGTTAGGTGTGTTGTAGTTAAACTAAAAAAATTGATTTTTTTAAAAAATAGGAAGTACAATTGAAGCTTTTTACTCATTACATGTATTTCTTGCAATGGTGTTCAGAGAAATTTTGAGATCACATATAACTGAAGTATCTACCCGCCCGCCCTTTTTCTTCTTTTAAGCTTTTCTATGATACCAATAACACTATGAAATCTACACCTACTCTCTACGAGAGCCCTTACAATTATATTACTTTGTAACGCGTCTGTGCACCACTAATTACTCACGTAAATCGGAAACCTAAATTTACGAATTATTCCTACAATAGAACATCTGGATTATGAAAAATCTAGATTTTCACCATACCTATTTAACATATTTACACTTTTTAATTTATAATGCACTTAACTATTCTGCATTTGTCATTGTTAAAAACACTAAAGAAATGTACCTGTGATCAGAGTTAAGGCGCATAGGCAAGAAAAAGACGATATGTCAATGTCCAGTGAGTGTAATGATTGACTGAATTCCAATATGGCTTGTAGCCAATCACCAAAGCTTCTGTAACACTGTTGCTTGTCCAAAACAGTTCCGTTACAAAATATCAATTTCGTGTCGGCATATTTAGTTCTAGACGAGAATTCAAGACCGAAGTTAGTTTTATACAAATTAATTATTTTTTAAATACCTTCCTAATGATATTAGTATTAAAGCATACGGTATCGTGTTTAAGATGATTTAAGGAGATTAAGGGAGATATATCCCCCCTCGACTTTATATACATGTAAACAATGTAAAAAATAATAATTATTTAAAAAATCAACTCCCCTTCTATGACTAAATCATTTTACTACCATTGATTGTTATTAGAATTCAGGATTTAGGTATAGATACCTGTAAGCGAGACGGAGAACGAATAGTTCTAGAGACGATGATTGAAACAGTAGATCTTGGTCGGTCTTGCACAAAGTTTTGAATCCTGGAATCTTTTCGGCAAAATGTTTAATCACTTCTACGGACGTCGTGAGCAATCCGAAAAACTGTTGGATTTTCTCCGCTTCAGTGGTCAGCGGTTCAAATGGTTTTGGCTCGTGATACTATATAACATTACAAATAAGTTATAATATTAAACAGAACGTTACCAGTAACACACACTAGAAGGTTCTGTGGTAGTAGCTGCTACCCTAAACTTTTGGGTAGGTAGTGGCGGTCTAATAATAACTGTACATTATATGTTAGAAATTATTATAAAGAAGATAATATTGTACACATTAGTTGTTAAAGAATATACCTACCTAAAGTAATGCTAAATTGGTGTGACATGAGCGAGGATGGTAAATTCAATGTAGCCGTTCAAATCGCTATCCAAATTTGAGTGTGTGCCACTGAACGTCACGATTAGTGTTGGGTAAATTACCGGTATAATATATTTAAAAATGAACAAAGATTCGAAGGGTAGGTAATATATTAACTGAATACTCATGAAGATATTATTGTACTCATGATTTATTCAAGCAAATTTCAATTATTTGTTGAAAAACTTATATGTTCCTCGTTAGAAAGTAAGATAATTTACATGTTTAGTAGTATAAAAAGGTATTTACAGTATACACAAACCTAATCCTCTAGGATTTATCTTAGAAAATCGTCAATACGGTTATTTTCTGTTTCTATTGAGAATATTAACCGGTATTTTTTCAGGCACGTAGCCAGAATATTAGTTTCAACATTTTTCATGTTAAAAAAAAAAGTAGTTATAAACACATTATACAAACAAATAATACCTTTGTATCTTATTGACAGATTTATTTTTTGATGATTACGCCATTTACCGTATAATATATACAACACGATATAATACTGCCGGTATGATCAGCTAGTAATAGGTACTTTTCGAAAAGTTATTAATAGACACAAAATAAAAAGAAATGGACATATTTTGCACGATAGGTTGGTCACTGTGGTAGGTGAACAGTTTGGATGGTAGCGATAATATTTAAATATAATATATATTGATGTATGATGTTTGAAAATGTCTGAATTGTTTATAAATCATTATTAAATGTATTACTTTCCTATTGGGAGGTGACTAGTAATAGACACTTTTTGTTTTTCGATAAAATTCACTATACCGATCAATTATAATACTAAGAATATGATAACGGGTCCGGGTCATAATATTAGTACTTGAGAATAGTCCAGCGACGAGAAATCCGGATTGGTATCTACATGGGCGCGGACCAGCGCCGTGATAAGCGACACAGGCGGACTGGTCGGCGAGCCGTGTGGCGACTTAGGCTTGGACGGCAGTCGGCCACGTCGGCCTTTTAGCGAATCGGTTCGGACCACTTCTTTGACCATGCCCACCTGCAGGCACTTTTGAAAACGGCAAAACTGACACCTGTTCCGCCGACGTTTATCCACCGGACAATTCTTGTCGGCCAGACACACGTACTTGGACCCCTTTTGCACGGTCCTCTTGAAAAAACCTATCGTCGCACGTGTACAAAATATACATCCAACATATTATTATCGATTCAATAACGCATATTATTACAATACATTAATTATACACGCGCCCAAGTCCGTACCTGAGGGGCGTTTTGGGGGTTCTACTCTTCCAATCCGACAATGCGTTATATTATGTTGTAGAAAAATAATTATTTCAGCCTCTGAAATTATTTTCTAATTATGGCCTTGCACGTATCTATTAGGTGTTTAGGCGTAACTATAATTAATATGGTTAAGTGGGGGGGGAGGGTTGAAGGAAAGGAGTTTGCATTTAATATGATCGCGGTGTGCCGATGCAAATTATAATTTATAAAACTGTGCGACGACCTACTGAAATTAATTTTCTTGTTTCATTTTTAAACTCGGGTGTTTTTCGAATCGACGGCGTAATCTGCGGGATTTTTCAACGAGAGGAAGGGGGTGGCTAAAAATATGATGCTCTTAGATAAATGAAAATTACATATACATAATATAATATATGAAACCTATTATATCTAAATCTCTTTATTAAAAACTGTTTTCTTGAGTTAATTTTGTAAAGTAGGTACCTTCTGTCTATACTGCATAATCGTATAGTAAAATTATTTGTAAACTCAGTCGAGAAACTATATTATATTCAGTACGAATTTAAAACGATTATTATTCTGTTTAATAATTATTCCAGTTTTTAATGATGAATATTTAATACACATATTTTCCTATTTTAACACGGCCAATGGAAGGAGGCTGAAAACCCACTGGCGTGTAGGAATTTTAAGTAGAAGGAGATGCATTTATCATTTTTAATAAATCAAGCTTTCTCTTGTAACTTGGGCCGAAATATGTTCATTTTAAAATTAATTCCTAAATTAACAATACTCGTAGCTGTTATGTTAAATAGCCAACCGCGAGGGGGAAATGACCCCTAATCTCGTTCCCCGGCACACGCTACCGGTCATCCCTCTGGTTACGTCATCACTGCGGCCGTTCGTCTAAACCCGGTCCTAATGGTCGAACCTTATTTTTAATTGGATTCGCGTTTTTAAAAACGTTGGCTAGACGAGGGTTCAATAAATTATAAATTATAGTACTGTATACTTGCCTTTGCATCCTTCACACGTACGCACTCCGTAATGCTGACACGCGGCCGTGTCGCCGCACACAGCGCACAACTGGGACGGTGACGTGGGTGCCATGACCGCGGTGACGTTTCTCTGCTGCTGTAGCATACAGACTTCCGAAGTCGGCGGAGAACAGTCGCCGGGCGCCGATACCGATAGAGTGTTAATGCAGTGCCGGATTTTCGGTGACAAACTGTTTATTTTTCGTTCGCATTATATTAATTGGAGAAAATAATTAACTGATAATATTATAATAACACCGATAAAACAACAATAGACGGGGACCTAGAACAATTGTGCGGTATTTACAACGGGCAATGTTTACAGAGAAAACTGACGATGATGTGTACCGCGAGCTGATAAAGCGTATTATATAATAACTGTCAATCGAAATATATCGAATATTGATATAGATTAGATGGATTTTATTTTCAGGGTATTTCAAATTCTATGTTACAGTCAAATTCCCCTTGAAATATTTATTTTTTCAAAAAAAAAAAAAAAACATATTATGTATAAAAACTATACTCTATTTTTAAATTTGGGTAAGGGGACAGTATTAAATTGTAAAAAAAAAAAAAAAACAATTATATCGCTACATACTCCAGATAATTAATTTGGCCAGTTATTATAAAATTGTGGAATTGAAAAGAATATGGAGGAAAGATATATTCGGTATTAGTAATCATTGCTGTTCCCAACCCCTCCCACCGAATGATTTTCACATATCACCCTGGTTGACAACCACTGAAATTAGATTTTAAATACTCCGTTTATAATCTCACCTGGCTGACGAATCAGCGGTAGTCCTGTGTGCCGACGATGAAGACGAGGACGATGACGTTCTTCTGGACCGCGTAGCGTCCAGGGTGGCGTGATTGATAGCGTGCTGAAGCTGATCATTGGCTGTGTTGGAGTCGATCAGTAAAGACAACGGGCCGCAGTGATCTGAAAAGTAAACATTTTACCATTCAATAAAACCTTAAATAACAAAGTGATAAAGGCATCGAGGTTAATCCATCTACGGCTTAACATTTTTAAACAGTTAATAATAGTTTATCATCATATGACAGCAAAAGACCTTTTTTGTAACATATCGGGTCTATTTAGTGCATTATGGGAGGATCATTTTTTAATTTTCCTGGTAGTTTTCTTAATAATGATGAAAAACCGGAAAATGTACACATAATAATGGTTTTTATTACTTTCAATTTTGTTTTTTTTACTGTGTTCTGACATTTTAATCGATTACTTACTTACTTACTTACATAATATTAGTCCTTTCGTTGTACATTTTCAAAAAAATTTGGTGATTTCTGAGCAATTTGTAGCTATTGAAAATAATCGTGTTATTTTAGTTTTCATTTGGTTTTATGTACGATAGATAAAATTTATCTAGCTTCTCAAAAATATTTTGGAAATTGATATAATGTTCATAATAAGTTATTCGTATGACACCATACAATTATCGAAAATCTGAATTCACGATTTTGTTTTTTAAACGATTTAAGGTTAAATTGTGATGCGTAATTGTGTACACGGCATTTCGCTTACTAGTTTCTGATTTATCTGAATAAAAATGTTTTGCTCCGTTAACAAGATATTACACTTGAATGTTTGACATTTTACAATGTGGTATGTATCATAATTTTAATATTTAAAACCACATTATCTTATCAGTTTATAAGTCAATTTAGATTAATAGAAAATAGTATGTATAACAGTTAAATATTTCAACATAATAATAAGACATGATAATGAAAACCGGACAACACGCACCTACGGGAAGACGAAAAAGATGACGAGTTGCGAAGGCAGAATCCGGTGGCCGAATGACTCGAGGAGTGTTTTATGAGAAAGAAAGGGGAGAAGAGTTGAATGCTGTTGTCCGGTTCTCATTATCATGTCTTATTATTATGTTGAAATATTTAACTGTTATGCATACTATTTTGTATTAATCTAAATTGATTTATAAACTGATAAGATAAAGTGGTGTCCACTATAATAAAATATAGTGTAGATAATATTAATGTTATATAATATTATATTATGATATAACTAGTTGACCAATATTAAAATTATGATATACACCGTATTGTATATATCATTACAGTAATATAGTGGGGCATCATTTGCATAGCTACGCTGTTAGCGGGGTTTGAATAGCGCTCCACTACTTTCCTCCTATATCCAAACAATTCTAACTTAAATGTGAAATAATCTCATCAATAGATAAACGGAAATTAAAATTTTCAAAAAAATATTAAACTATGAAATCTTTAAATTTTTAAAAAATAATAAAAATGTCATTTATTTTTTACTAAAACATAAAAAATTAATTATAATAATTCCAAATATTTGCAGACCTTATTTCAGTGAGTAATATATATATATAAAAAAAAAAAAAAACAGAATTTGATTATCTTTATTATCTCCGGAAATATTACAATGGGTATATCTTCGTGGGACACCCCTGTATCTATTGCGAGTTTTTCGTTGAATAATTATCAAAAAGATTAAATATTAAATTGGATTAAACGTGACAAACTCAATTTACTTTTAAGGTTACTGTGCGACGGTAGCTGTGCCAAAGATTGTTGATGTTGGAGGTGTTGATGGTTGACGGGGACGGCGTGCTGTTGTTGCTGTTGTTTGGGCGTCATAACGACTATGTGATCTAACATTGGTTCGAATGTAGAACCGATGCTACCGTGATCAGCAGTCGGCGAGTCAGGTGGTAAAGCACCAGAAAAGTTTTGGAAGTGATAATCGAAGTGTATGATTGGTAGAGGCGGGGGCGGAGGTGGAGGTCCGTGATGCTGATGATGATGATGATGATGCTGTTGGGCATGGTGAGACGCATGCTGTTGCTGTTGTTGTTGTTGATGCTGTTGATGATGTTGATGATGATGGTGATGGAGATGTTGAGGATAATTAGAGGATGCGGCCATCACGGCCGCGGTGTTGGGCGATACGTAATCGTCTTCCATTTTAAACCCTACGCCCGTTGCAGCGTACGTCTCCTGGAAACTGGGCAACAGACCCTGCATCGCGCCATTCTGGTGTTGGTTCAGGAGATGGAGCTGGTGCTGGTCCTGATGCTCTAGAATCGTGTGTTGTTGTTGCTGTTGTTGTTCGTCCGTCAATACGCCTTGTACGTCAGAAAGCGAGTCGATCTCCTCAGTCAGTGGCAACTCGGGATATGTACCCGACAAGAGTTCGGCGAAGCTGCTAGGCGTAAATGTGGTCTGCGAACAATATAATTGATTTTTCATCGGTTAGGTTTGGTCAGGAAATCGGAGGTTGATGATTTTTTTTGGAAATTGTGATCCACAAATGAAAGAAAAACAAATTTTCGACAGTTTTCGATTAGAATTTATGTTTAATTTATGTATTTTAATAAAATATAGCGTTATTATTATGATATAATAATAAAAAAAACACTATATAATATAGGTATGAATAATAAAACCACAGAACGACAAGGAATTCCACCTTTAAGTTTTCTATTTTGTGGATAAAGTGAGAGTAATTCAAACGTCGCCACGGCACAAATGATTCTTCACTATTCAGTGAAAAAAAGCTTTTTGAAAACCAAAATTAGTTTCATCGCCAAAAATATAACAATCATGTATTATTTTAGAGCTGCTCGTTTTTTAAACTTTCAAAAAAACATATTCTGAAATATTCTAATACTTTTCGACATAATGAATACGGAATGTTGATTATCTTACATACAAAACATAATAATTATCCCAAAATGTTCACAAGACAATATTTATGTTTTTCGTCTGCACAATAATTAATAAAATGTCTAAAATATAATCAGGTTAAGTTATGTTTTTTTTCAAAAATTACCGAAGTGATTAGGTAAGTAAATGCTTCTTTGAGTTGTGACTTCTTTAAGCGTATCTATAATAAAGCTATAATAAAATTAATTACTACATCTACGTTAAAAATCCTGTTTTATTTTTATTAAACAGTTTTTGACAACAACCATCTCTGCTTTTAAACATTTTAGACTGTCCACAGTCCGGTTGCGAACCCTATGCACAATCAAATTATTTGGAAGGGGAGGGGCTACGCAAATATTTGGGATACTAATTAAGAAGCTATATTAAACTTATGTCAACATCGGTTTTGTTATTAGAAATAATCGAAAACAAAAAACACGTAGACATTTTTCTTATAGAAACATTACTATCATTATAAATTGGAGCAAAATTTTCGGTTGAAAAGTTGTCTACAGAAAAAAAATTGTAATATTATACAAATATATTTCGTACATTTTCCCATTTTTCCTCAGTATTTTGCATTTGATAAAAAAACTCTTGAGAAAATTCGAAAAATGACTTCCTTAGAGTACCTCCCCACATCGATTACCTATCAGAAAAGGTACTATACATAAAAATCTGAGCAAGATCTCTGGTAGAAAAATTGTTCAAAAGATGAAAAAAAAAAAAATGATATAAACACCTTTGTAAAACCATAAGCTTTTTCGCTCCACTCAGAATCTAAAATTTAAACATTTTAACGAGTGCATTAAAAATGTAAACATTTTCTAGTCGTACGCAGATATTATAATTTCAGATTATAAAAATGTATGGCTAGCTATTTAAAAATTGAATTTTTTTTTCAATATAAACACGTATTTAATATTTGATTTCATCAATATATTTATTGATAAATAACCTTTAAAAACATACGTTCGTACAATTTACATTATGCTAACATCGTAGAATGACACTTAATTATTAATAAGACGTGTCATATGTTTATTTATGAACAATTATTGCTATAATTCGCTGTTATTATATAATATTATTTTTGATAGAGTATATAATATTATCATTTATAAAAAAAAAAAAAACAAAAAAAAAATAAAAATAAATATTAATCTATATGTTTTGTACGTTTTGAGATAAACACTTATTAATTAAACTTAACTTATCAGTTAATACTAATTTATTATAAAATTTATATACACAACATATTGATTTTCAATAGTAAGTAAGTATACCTAAAACAAATATTCGATTTGATAATATAAACGAAAATCAGTATAAATTTTATTCATTTTAATATATAGCCACCGTCATTGAAAGAAATTTGTTGATATCTACAGTATTTTTCATTAAAATTGAAAAAAAAACACAAAATACGAAAAATGTGATTTTTTTTAAAAATTATTATAGCACAACGATTTCATTATTTTAACGGCTTATGCTTTTTACAAAAAATATTGCTCCAATAGAAAATCAACAAGAAACATTTTTTGTTGAACTTTTAATCTAGTTGGCATGCAAGAAAATCGTTTTTTGATTTTTTTTTTTTTTTAGTTTTATTAATAATTAAGCAAAATCGAAAAATACGTTTTAATTTACGAAAATAATTCTTTTGATATTTTAAAATTCGTTTTTTTTAATAAAGAAATTCAGTTAAAAAAATTCGTAGAGACTTCAAATTTAGACGGGAAATTTATATTTGCTTTTTCTAATCGCGGTAAAATTGTTTGTACATTTTAATTATGCAAGGTTTTTACGAATTATTTACTCGATAGGTACCTACTCTGCGGATAAAATTGTTAAAAAACTGACTAAACAGAAATACTTGACAATTTAAAAGGGGGTTCATTATAGCTTATAAGTTGTACATAGTGGTCAACAAGAAAACGTTGAGTGTAATGTGATTTTTTTTTTATAAGATTTAATATCAAATGTTGACGAAAATCGTAAATATAACGGCCTTTTAAAATATACATAACCGAACTTCGCTCAGTTTCGTTTTTCATTAGCAATGATTTATTGTTGGTTACAGGTATAAATAATTGTATGTATCCTAACATCATAACTACCCCCCTACAAAAGTAGTGGCATCCGTTCTCAGTATCAGCTCATTTTTAAATATTTTTTCGTTTGTAAACAACTTTTCGAAAAGAAATCTAGAAATAGGTAAATTTAAAATAGGCTTATATTTTCTACAAAAAATATTGCTTTAATAAAAACTATAGCTTAATAGACTTAACAGAAATGCTTGGCAATTTCACTGGAGATTCATCATTAATCATACATAAAATGGTAAAAAAAATTTGAGTATAATGTAGTATTTTTTTTTTTTTATACGAGTTTTAAGTTTAAATTTTAATAAACATCATAATTACCACAGCATTTAAAAATATACTCAATCAAACTTCACTCAGAATTTTAACCAACAGCCCACTTACTCACCCATCAGCAATATCCAATCTTTTTAATTATTATTATTATTAGGTTACTTTATTACCATTTTATCAAAGAAATAAATGACTTATATTATTTAAATCTAGTATCTTATTGTGTATAGTACCTATAAAATATGAATTATCCTAGATATCCTTAACTTTCCAATTATCCAACTACAACAACTACCTACTCATGATTAGTATCATTTTTTTTATATACATCATATCTAATGAATTAAAAATATATATTGGTTTACAGTAATGTCGGATGATCTAGCATCCGCATTCAATTTCTATAAAAACATAAACCCAATCTGGAGGCCTAGATTACTTAGTCTCCTACAAAACCACGTTTAACTTAACGACAATTTTTTCTGTTTTCATTTTAACCCTTGTCAATTTTTAACTCTGGTTAACGGTTGTGTCTATTATATTATAGCATTTAAATTACAACTCTGTATACTGGTTCTAACACGTGAATACCTATATACGTTTATTGATTAAAAATATATAGTAACATCAGCGCTACACATAATGTATCATCTCCGTCAGAATTTTAGAAAAAAATCCGGTAAGCTTCGAGACGTCTATCTTGATTTTTATGTTTTTTTTTTTTTTATTTCTCTTCATTATTTTAAATACGAAAATTACATCACCAGGGGATTTAGAAATTCAATAGGCAGAGACGTGTATTTTGTTGGTATATTATTAAAATATTATGTTTCCGAATCGCACTACGGAACGTACACACGACCTTTACGTTTTCATTAATTGTATATGCGGAAATGTAGTTGACCTTAAAGGCGTACCGCTACAATAACAATACCGAATAAAGCATACAAATTAGAATATAATATTATAAGTAAAGAATTCATCGAAAAAGATTACCTAGGTGCAAACGAAAATAACGAAATAATACCCATTGATAATAACTTCAAAATGAAAAAAGTAATATATGTAGTAACATATATTACTTTTTACTTTTTTTACTATAATGAACAGTTTTTTTTTTATATTTAGGTACAGCTAATTATTTTCCATTTGATTTTAGATTCTGAACGAAACGAGGAATATGTTCTTGTTACCTTGGCGTGTGCTTTTTTTATGCCCGTAAACAATTGTTTGACCAGAAATCTTGTTCCAATATTTTCAACATCAGGGATAGTTTCTGGTATTTAATTTTGTTTAGTTAATGCATACATTTTAATACGAATTAATTCGTAGCTATTATGTTCAAGTGTTCTAATTTATTTCCAAGCCGTAATTTCCCAAACATTACTATCAAAATAGACTTTACAATTAGAATATTGCACGGACTCTGTCTTTATAATAGTTTCAACACTATCATCGCGTGGAACAAACTTTAGATTGGTAATTTTATTATTTTTATTGTATTTTTTTTTTTTTTGGATAATGGTGAAAAATCAACGAGAGAAAATCATCGGACAATATTTAATCGATCTCCGCTCAAAATCGTTTTTCATTTACGATAATTAAAAAACGAAATTACACTGTATATAATATATCTCCCGAACATTTCACCTAAAATACTGTGCTACCTATAAGCAGCGTTCTATTTATTTCCCACTATGCTGTACTCGTTATTTGTAATAAAAATAAGCATTTTAATCGTTTTCATCTATAATTAGTATATGTAAAAACAGTACTTGTATATAGTGACTTTAAAAAATACAATATATTTTCGTCTGTCGATTTTAATTATTATTTTTTAAACGGTAGTATATTGCGATTTTATCTACTGTCGCATTTGTCTAGTTGATTTGCTGTTTGTATTGGCGTTAAACTTTTATTTGAACGCGCGTAAAATGTCCACATTACATCAGACAACAAAATTATGTAGAATATTTAATTCGTAATTATTTATTATTATTATATAATATTATTGCGTAGAAATTTCAATTTAATTTGTCTATTTTGTTCGCTTGACATATCATATAATAACTACATTCAATATTACAATCCGATAATATTTCTACGGCAGACGAAATATTTGAATGTGGTTGCGGTTTATTGTTATTATAATGGAGATAAATAACAAAAGTGTACATTCTAATAACTATAGTCATGTAAAGAGAAAATGACTTCAGTGGGCTACGTTTAGAAAATGTAAATAAAAGTTTCTTGTCTTAATTTAAAGTCTTGACGAATATGTTTAACTGAATTATAACAAAAAAAAAACTGTCCTAGGATAATAGGGACGGGTGCAGCCACATTTATAGGTGAGAATTTGGGAAGGTAGTTGAGGGGCAATTGAATGTATAGGTATATCGGTATATAGGTATGTAACTATTAACCTTTGCTAACGAAAAAGCAATTCTGAGCGGAGTTCGGTTAATAGTGTTGTTTTGTCAACAATATATATATATATATAAAAAAATATATATATACATATATCATATTATGGTAAAATAATTACATATGAATTATATATTTTCTTTAATTATATTTATATAATATTGTACCTATTTTCTCGTTTTTCCCATTTATTGAGAAAACTCTAGAAAAAATCAAAAAATGACCTCCTTAAAGTACCTCTCCAATCCGATTTCTTTTTAGAAAAAGTACTGTCACTGTAAATCGGATCAAAATTACGGTAAATTCGGTTAGAAAAGTGGTTCACAGAAAAAAACAAAAAATAAACATCATCGTAAAACCAACATATTTCTCGCTTCACTGAAAAAATCGAAAACAATAAAAGCATCGTTTTCATAACTTTCTACGTTTTTTTTCCAGTTTTTCCTAATTATTATGACAAAGACTTGGAAAATCAAAAAACAACTTTCATCGTAAGCAACTTTATCCAAAATACGATAAAATAATGTCATTTTTTGATTGAAGCAATTTTTTTAGCAAAAAATATTAGTTACAAAAATAAATAATCATCAAATCATCGCAACGTCATAAATATTTGTCCGAAAAAACCGCTTGCCGTGTTCACAGGTAAAAACAAAAATACCCACTCACATCATACGAATAGTATAAAACCAATACACTCCAAATTTAAGAAAAGTGTAATGTGTATTTTAAAGAGCGATACCAATACGTCTTATTGTCTATACGATATCGGTACTCCGATCTCAGTGTCCAATTAGACACTTGTAATACATATACTACCATAGCCGGGTAATTATGCCACTGGACACTGGATTTTGGTGCACCATACTTTTTCTAGAAAATAATATTTTGTAGACGTTACCAGGCGTTCGAAGTACACAAAAAAAGGCTGATCCACAGGATGACAGTTGGGAAATTCATAGCCGTGATAGTTACTATTATAGATCATCGTCATGTGAACAGGGCAACAGTAATTATCCAACTTTCATAAAAGCAACTATTGCATTATCAGGTTTACATTAATAGTTGATAGTTACTATCGCGAAACTATGAAATGCTTTCGTTTTATTTTACTGTCATATTATACAATTCATAGACGTTTTTTTGCTGTTATAATATGCGGCTTCTATACGTATTATATCTGCATTTTACTATAGAATGGATGCATTAATGAGGGGTTCGTGGGGTTTCAAACCCTCCCTATATATCCTATCTTTAAACTTCACTCCTAAAACACCCATCAGGAGCAACAGTTTTTTTTTTTTTTCAAATAAATTCCCTTTTCGCTTTTTGAGTATACCGTGGACATTTTCGAGAGCAGACGTCGAAGAAATACAATAATTTATTTAAAAAAAAATGTTCACATTGTGTGCTGCTCGTGGCGGCTTCTCACCGTAATATTATATTAAATTTGTCCCCATCAATAACTTTGACACTTTAACGATTATTATACGCGTTTCGACTGTCCGATTTAAGCACGTTATATTAGTTTCTCGGAACCTTGTTGCGTTGTCGCAAAATAATTTTGTATTCCACGAACGGTAATGTTGGATTCAAAAAAAGGCCAGTCCGTTGAAGGTGTTATATGTGGGAAGTTGGGAAGGTCGTAAGATATATAGGAATAGATGGGGTAATTTATTTGTTAATATAGTTTCTGTATAATTACGCATCGATAAATCATTGCAAACGAAAAACGATTCTGATGTGAGTTTTTGATAAATTCAAATTAGACTTTGTATTAATTATTGTAACTACGTAATAAATATTACAATATTATTCGCGTTTTTAATGAATTTTACCATGAATTTGAACTTGTAGGGCTTATAAAAATGAATTAAGATATTATTATAATATGATCAATTTTTGTTATTTTTTTTTTTTTTTTACTATTTATGCACATTGCACAAGTTATGATGAAACTTATGTCAAATATATGTTTCTGGGGGAGAGGGCAATAAATGTTATCCATAATATTTTAATATTGTACTATAACCAAAATTCTAAAAAAAAGTGAAGGTTTCAAATATCTTTGAATAATAATTGTACAATACAACTGAATGCTTTGGGAATTGTATTGTGCCTAAAAAATGCTTATATCAATACTCAGTGAAAGTTTTGAATTTCTACGGTTATTTTTCTCTCAATTATGGAAAAAATAAATAAAATAAAATCCAACTAAACAGAAACTATTATTATGAAATTAATGAATTCTGCTCGAAAGGTATCCCATAACGAATACCGTCAGTGTGCAAGCTACGGCGGAATAGTATACCGCACAAATAAAATACTGTTTACCGTATTGGTACAGGACCGTGTACCGTTGCAGTGTATGGGAACCTTTATCCTGGTTTCTTCTTTCTACGTTTATTTTTTCGGTTTTGTTCAATTATTAAAATAAAATACACTGAAAATCAAAAATCGACTTTCTTACATACAAAGTAGAATAAGAATGTAACGAAAAAGGCCTCTATCTTTTTTCTATTGGAGCATTTCTGACAAATAAACATAAAGTGTACAAATTATAAAATAATTAAATCGTATGTTATAAATTTACATGTTTTAATTTTTCCTCGTTTACCGGGTTTTTCAATTATTATGAAAACTGCTTAAAAAATCATAGCTTTCTCTGGGTTAAATTATCAAAATAGTCTGTTGTTTTATGATATATTTATAGGCACTATACTTTTTCGAGGATTTTAGTTTTTATTTGCTTTTATGTGGACAAAATGTTTGTTTGGTTCGACCAGAATCATGGAAAAGTCTATGTGAGGTTCATCATAAGTTGTACTTGGTGATAAAATTAATTAAATTGAGCGTGCTGTAGTATTTATTTTGCATGCCGTATAAGTTTAAATTTTGGTGAAAATTGTAAAAATGATAGCAATTTTTTCTATGAAAATAATACATTTTTCAACGATATTGTGCAAGACGGTTTTTTTTCTAAATGTTAAATAAAGAAAAAAACGAGCATTTATTGTGAACATATTGTAATATTATATATTTCAAACGTTTCTATACAACACAGCACGTAATAAAAGTGACCAAAAACCTGTTTGCACATATAATAATATGATTTGCATAGTGAATATTTAAAGTAATATAGTATTATACTCGAAAACGGTTAATCTCCAGAAATCCGGGTGAAATGATGTCTCGGAGATGTGCACACGATTACGTAATGTGATAACATACATTATAGTCACCTCGAAAGTTTATTATTGCAATTTATTGCAAACGCTCTCAATTGCCACGTAAAAAAAACAAATATCGAATCCATAGGCCTTCATATTCTGGTCTGACTGGAAAGAAGGGAGGGCTCAGACGTGATTAATTATAAAAAGAAAGCAATTATTTCAAAAATGAAAGAAACAACCATCAAATATGGTTTGGTTCGTATACATTTTCTTCCAAAAATGAGACACCGACCGTTGTTTTTCTCCATAGACGGTATCTTGGCGAAAAAAATGTTGAATCTAGGTCATTCCTTTCCATTGGAAGAAATAAGACTTTTCACATTTTTATAATAGTAATTGTAAACAGTGCCCTGTTCAAAAATTTAAAATGAGAGGGGATAAAGCGTAGTAAATAATATAATAGTCATGAATAAATCGTAGACACTTTTTCTATGCCTAACCGCGGGAATTCGCTTTTGAATTTCCGTATCCACAAAAGCCAATTTTGATTCAATAAATAAATAAATAAAGCTTTTCCTTGTTATATGGCTGAAATATATGTACATTTCAAAATTGAATTTTAAGCCAACAGGGAAGGGTAATATTATATTCCCTGAAGCCCCTGCTCATGGTACTGATTGGATACGTATACATTTCATATTCTTGTCAAAAATATTCTATGTGAACGTTTTATTACACTCAAATCAATGGTGGATAATTGGATATATCAATCAGTTAATAAGTTAAAAACTTAAGTTTATTTTAACTTTTAAAATGACGAAACACGTAAGATGTTTTACCAATCAATATAATACAATTTAAACAAAAACGATGACATTCGAATCGCATGTAATATTATAACCATTAGCTTTAAACTTATATTTTTATACTAGGTGATCCATTTAAGTAGATATACTCATTATCTCGGAAAGTATTAACTTTTTTCAGAATTTGTTTTCAAAAACATTTAAGAAACAAGCTGCTCTACAATTTGATATTTATGTTATTTTTGGCACCCTTATTTTTGGAAGTAAAACCACTACCTACTTTTGATTTTAAATGGCAACCTATATGAAAAACTCCATAAATAAATAGAGTGTTAGTTAAAATAAACTTAAGTGTTGAAATTTTAGACTCTGAGTGTAGCGAAGAATGTATTGGTTTTACAAAGATGTTTATTTTATATTCATTTTTTTATACTGTGTACAAACATGGTGCTAAAATCTTACTCCGATGTATACGACGCAGACTCTTTTTGAAAGGAAATTTTCTTCGGGTGGTACTTTAAAAAGGTCATCTTTTGTTTTTCCAAGCAGTTCTTCTAATAATTGGGAAGAAGTGAAAAAAATGTAAGAAAAACGGGAAATTTATAAAAATATAATGCTTCATTATTTTTTCAATTTTGTTATTTGTTGTAATTCAATTAAACATATTCGTAGAGACTTGAAATTTGGACAGAAAACTTGTATTTACTTTTTCTAGACGTGGTCAAATTAAAAAAAAATATCAAGTCACTTTTTGAGCTATTTTTAGACATTTTAATTTTGTAAATTTTCCAAGTAATTTTTATTCGGTAGGTACTGTGTGGTAAAATTCTTAGACTTAACAGGAATGTTTTGAAAATTCACAGGAGGTTCATTAAATATTTTACTTTGTGGTAAAAAAAAAAACAATTGAGTTTAATATAGTGTTTTTTTTAAAAAAGAATTTAAGTATCAAATTTTGCCGAAAATTGTTTGAGTAATTTTTCAATTTTTTGTTTTGAAAATATGTATTTAGCTTTAGAACGATGATGAGATCAAAATAGAGTGGACTGACTAAGTTTCAAAATTATAGCTTATTGAAGTTCTGATATTATGCGGATATTATAATGTTATGTTAAATAACCCTAGATTGTCTACTTTGAAGTATGTTTTGTCACAGTCTAATGGTACCTATTATAATCCAGTGAATCACGAGTACAAACCCGGTTTCGAAAAAAATTTTTTCATTGATTTTCTTTCTTTTACCTAAACAGAGAAAAAAAATAATAATTTTATGTGTACCTAGAAACACCCTGTATATGGGATAATCAATTTATTGTAAGACACTCATTATTTCAGAATGTTTTTAACTTTTTAAACTTATTAACTTTTTTCAAAATTTGTTTTAAAGAAAATTTAAGAAACAAGCTGTTCTAATATTTAACATTTAAATTATTCTTTGTCACTCTAATTTTTGGGGATGAAACTACTACTTACTTTTGATTTTCAAATGGCTACCTATATTAAAACTTCCTTAAATAGATGGAGTAGTAGTTAAAATACATTTTGATATTTATATTTTTAATTTCCGTCAATCCCTTGACAAAATATTCCACTTTTAAGTTTGGATTGGGGGAGAGTAGTGGTACATTTTTAAAACGTGCCACCAAACAAATGATACCCAAATACTCTCCCCCGACCCAAACTTAAAAGTGGAATATTTTGTCAACGGATGGACGGAGATTAAAAATTTAAACACCAACATTTATTTTACCTACAACTCTATCTACTTATGGATTTTTTAGTATAGGTTGCCATTTAAAATCAAAAGTAGGTAGTGGTTTTACCTCCAAAAATAAGGGTGCCAAAAATAACATAAATATCTAATTGTATAGCAGCTTGTTTCTATTAAAAAAATGTCGAAAAGAGTTAATACTTCCCGAGAAAATGAGTGTCTTATGATAGATTGATCACGCTGTATAAATATATGCATCGCCGTTATCAAATATTATTAAAAAAAAGTGTTAAATGCATATGTAAATATTTTATCATAATAATATATATATATATATATATATATATATATTTTTGAAAAAGCAACACTATCAATTGACGTTCGCTCAGAATCGATTTTTCATTAGCAATGGGTTATCGTTGCTTATTACAGATACAAATTAATTTCCTCTCTATATCCTATGTTCCCAACTTCTCACTAACGATAGTCGCTGCACTTATTGTGCAAAGTATGTCCGTCTTTTTTTTTTGATTTTTGTCAAGTCATTGACAAGATATTTCATATTTAAGCTAGGGTTGGAGGGGAGTAGTGATGCATTATTAAAACGTCACGTGCCGTATCGCCACATAAATTCCAGAAAAAGTAAATACTTTCCGAGATAATGAATGTAACCTAACCCACTTAAATGGATCACCTGGTAGTGTATACGAAGAAAAGTAGACATGAATTTGGTCACATTTTTGGTAGCCTTTCAGTATGAATTTATTGTAGTTCGAAAAACTCACATCAGAAAGTCTTTTCAAAAATATTATAATAATTGACCAAATAAATTATTATTAATCGATAAACGAAATGATTGATATAAGGATCTATTACACGTTTTTATAATTTTTTGATTATAAAAATATTATTATCGAGTTATCCATCTATCGGAAGAGAACAGTAATAATTGAATTTCCATCAGTCAACATTCGATTATTATTATTGGCATAAACAAAATTAGTCTAAATATTATGTTTTAATCCTATGAAATATTTATTATTTTATGTTCTATACATAACCAATTAGTTAATAAAACAGTAATATGTAATTTATTGTCTTTTTGGTTTTTTTTTAATTTTTTTATTTATACAATCAATATAATCTGTTCATGGAAGATATACAGTATCGAATAAGGGTCCAACAAATAATGTTTGATGCTTTAGAAGTTAAAACCAGTTTAAAGCAGGGAGATTTGCTATCACTGATTCCATTCAATATAGCACTGGAAAAAATTATTAGGGAAATGCAAACGGAAACCACTGGAGTAGCGATCGGCAAATGATCTTAACATATTAGTTCATACATATATTACATATTAGTAACATACAAGTCTCTTAGAAAATAATATAAAAGCAGCCCAAAAGCTTAAACAAGCAAAATAGGTAAGCCATCAATTTTAGCCAGTAAAATAGGTTTACAAATTAACATGGACCAAACCAAAATCATGGAACTGCTAGAAGCAACATCAATACGAAATCCATAACTTTCAAAAAAGTTAGTGAATTTCGATACTTAGAAACTGTTCTAGAGACTTAAAATGACTGGGCTAGAAAGATAGTAAAAATAATAAAGACTAAAATAAAATAATTTACAAGTTCGTAAAATCGAAAGAATTTTCAAACAAAATTAAAGCAAAATTATATGCGGCAATAATAAGACGTACGCTTTTATATGACTGCAAGGCATGGACTACTACTATAACATAACTGAAAGAAAGCTCGGGACTTTCGAAAACAAAATAAAGATGACAATTATATGTGTACCAGTTTGTGACAACGAAAAGGGAACGTGAAGAAATAAATTTAATAAAGAAATGCAGGAAGAAAATATGGAAATGGCATAAGATTCATAAAAGGACATAGGATTATGATCAATGCTTGGCTTGAAAAAAAAGTTGATGGATACTCAAGCTACTTTAACAATAGAGCAGTTATATATCGTAAAACGTGGGTGACTTGAGAACCAAAATAGAATACTCCCGAAAAGGTTGAAAAGCTTCGCGATGGTAGGCTCCCAGTAGCCATTGATTCGGACCAAAATAGGGTTATACAAATACACTAAATTATACAGACATGTAAACAGTACATGAGCGAAGTCATGAATAAAGTCACAGATAATATAACTATATTTGTATGCAACTAATTTGTAAACTGTAAAATACGATCCAAAAAAAAAAAAGTAATCCAGCGACGCCGGGCGAAAAAGCTAATAATATATTAATAATATAATGTATATTATATATGACTGAAAAACAAAACCTAAATTCATCTTTACTTAATATATTCTTCAATAATGATCAAAAATAATAAAAAAAATGTCCCTGTATAAGACGATTGACGAATATCGGGTACTTGTGCTAAACGACTGCAGTTGCAATGTATACAAGTATCATCCGGTCGAAGAAATGCAATGTAATATATAATACGATTTAAGTTTTCACCCCTTACAGCCGAGGATTTTCAGTAAACCCTCTCGTCATCTCACGTCTGTAACCTATTTCAGGAAACATATTACAACATCGGAGAAAATAGTTGACCGTAAAACTGTATACACCTACTCGCTAAGAAGATACCGATCAAAAACACTATTATTAAAAAGAAAACTTCGTTAAATCTGTTATGTAAGAATACTAGGAAGTCTACGTACGAATATTAGAACAAAGGGTCCCGTACTCCGTCTGAATAAGTACAAACCCGGGAATTAAAGTTTTTTTTCCTGGGAAATTAAAGTTGAGTTAAATGTAATATGAATTTAACACCCCTAAAGAACCTTAAATAAAACTATAAGAGTATGGAATTTCATATATATATATATGGTGTAAGTATTAAGGATGTGTTTTTTGGGGGTTTCAGCCTTTTAACCCTCTCCTCAACTATTTTATGATCAAATTTCATGTTTTTACAGAAAATACGGGGTTTTTAATGCCCCTAAAGACCTATCAAACTGAATTAAAATGCATATTTATATAATATCTTCGATGTTAAGGATGTACCTTTAGAAGGTTTTAACTTCCAATCTCCCCAATGTCTATTTATATAATAACAAAAAATCTCGAAAACTACATAATTATCGGAAATTCATATTATATATTTTTAATACCAGATAGAAGAGAGAGATAGTAGACATGAAATAGGGCAAAGAGAGAGATTTACGTGGTTAATGAATGTCTATATAGTGAATATAAAAAAATAAATAAATTTAAATCTCATTTAATTAAGTATATAATATAATACTATAACACTGGCAACCATAACTATTTTATTAAAATACTGTAGGTAAGTAGGTTTAGACAACAAGTGGACTGGGGGAAAATTCAAGTCTAGTGATGGAGTTCTACTGTTCATGGTTTATTTTTTTTTGTTATGGTATGCATGAACACTATGCTAAAAAGTACAGAATAGGGTATGCTTCGAAAGGATTATTTTTGTTGCAATTTTCAAGTGAATCGTTTAAACTTAAATTTACAATCGTTACATAAATATTACAAATGTTGAAGTTCAAAACGCATTCAAATATCGATACAAAATAATTATATTATTTTTTTGAATTTTGATAGCACCTACAAAGTATAGTTACTATACTCTCTAATATAGTACAGTGGAAAAACTAAATTTTTCAGTTACGGAAGTGTCCGAATATAAAATAAAAACAAATCTAGTTAAGTATACTATTATAACCAGTGACATGCCCAGGAAGGGTTTGTATGGATCAGCTTTACGTCATTGAATGAGAGAAAAATTCATAAATATATGACCAAAAATTGTATAAAAACAAATTTCCGCTTGTTATATACACACACAACTAGTTTTTGTAGTTTGAATTTATTAGTAATGTAATTTGCTTATTATGTAAAATTTATATGAAATATTGTAGGGACGACTCAATAAAAGATTGCGTATATTTGCAAACACCTAAAAGTAAATATATATAAATATATTATATATCTTGAAAAAAAAGAAAATGAGTAAAGAATGAAGAAAAAACGACAATGTACTAAGTGAAGTAAATGAAACTAAAAAAATACGCAGTACGATTCAAGTTATATGATGGAATATGATTAGAAGTGTTTCAACACGCAAATGAGTTTCTATATATTTTAAATAAGTGAGGAAAAGTTTGAAAAGGTACGTCTACTTTCAACAGGTTTTACTGTAAAATTTTCTTTTTTTGTTTAAGGTATTCGTCTGTTAAAGAAAAATTAAAAACTGCAATATCCTTCACAAATTTTCTGTTTGGAAAAACAAAATAAAAATTTAATATTTAAAACTAACGGCGTTTTATGAAATTTTCTTGTTTAACGGTTTTTATGGTTGGTACTTTTACGCAGTAATGTTTAACCGTGCCTATAAATAATTTAAATTTTATCGCAAAATTGATCAAAATTCAAAACAATATTCGATATTTTCGAAAATTCAAAACCGTCATACACCTAAATCCATTCAGAATTTGTATAGTATTATATTTTGAAATTTATCTATCGTCAAAATATGCGTATCAAATATTTATTATACTTAGATACTAACACAGACACTTATTCAGATAGCACGAGTTTTGGCAAAAACGTAAAACCGTATTTACTGCTACAGCGAGTGATTTGCAATTATTTTGTATTTATGTCGTCTGCTCAGCAGCAATACATTAAACAATAAAGCCTTTGCGAATTTATAATAATATACAGTATTCTACAGTGATAAAATTCGTTTATACGATTAACAAATGATGAAGCTATAAAAATTACGCCGGACGTCTACGCCTTGAACTGGTCCTGATTTAAAATGATATTAATATTATGAAGCTGTGGAAATATTTCCGATTTCTTTCTACATTCTGGAATGTCCCCCACGAATCACGATGCTATCGGGGAGACGTTTTCAACAAACGCGTCGATTCATTATTATTGTATTTCACTTTTTTCGTAGGTGATGATGTGGACACAGCTTTATGCCACTGAATAGACACGATAACGGATAAAACCATCGTCGTTTTCGTTTTCGGTTTTCATTTCTAAGGCTACCATAATCGTGTGATAGGTCGACGTTTATCCGACGTGGTCCCTGAACGATTGGCTGTTCGTCAATATAATATTATTATTGCAATAATACCGCCTCTGCTGCCGTATTTTGTCGGTTGATAATCACTACTTTCCAGACTAGTGACTTATTATCGTTTCGTGTAGCACGTCGTTATAATACCTTATTTGATCCGTAAATATAAATGTGAAAATGAGAACCTTGAACACGAATGATCTCTGAATTTACTCGTCCAATCGTTGTGCAGTTTTTTTTTTTCTATGATTGAGTATATCGCGGATAAAATGTCAAGCTTAAATTAATATGCAAGTCAAAAAACAACCCAGTTATTTAATTTTAAAATAATAGGCGAATACGCTAAATCTATATCAATAATAATATTATATAATTACTATATAAATACTATATAATTAATAAGACTGTTTTATTATTCAAATGCGTAACCACTGATTGCAACTACTAGACTCAAATCGGACCGCAGTCCAGTAAGGTCCAGTATTCTCATTGTGATACAATAATATTCGTCGCGGTAATTATAATATTGATATTTTCGCCCAGACGACGTTTACTGCCACGGCTGCAATAATTCCCACAGCAGTCGAATAACATTCAAACAATGATTTCTTTTTCTTATAATACACGTTTATCAAGATTTTAAAGTGCTCGTCCGAATCGTATAATTTATCTATATCAAACAACTGCAATGGTCCACGATAACGCTATTTTTCAGTAGTTCTTGGTACATCATATAATAATAATTGATTGTGAATTGGATTTTTTAAATTTTAAACTAAACAACGAGTGTGTATTGGTTTTATTATGATGCGCAGTGTTTTATTTTTATTTTCCCGTCTGTGAACGAGTTTTCGATCAGATGAATATAATTTGTTCCGATACAAAACTTCAAAGGAGCTTTCTTTTAACATCATATGAATCTATATAGAGTTGGTGCAATGACATTGATGAGGTAATTTTTTGATATCTCTTTTAATTTTCTTAATAATGGGAGTAAAAACGAAAATATCGTCAGAAATACGAAATTATTTTACGAAACGCTGGTTTTGACAAAATCAGTTTTGGTGTTTGCTATAATAACTATTTGTAGGAACATGCAATTTGTACCGAAAACCTGAATTAGTATTTTTTCAACGTGATGGTTTAATCATTTTAAACAAACTTTGGTTCTTTTTGAGTTATTTAAATAATAATTATGAGTACTTATAAACAATAGCTAAGCTGCTAAGCTAAAACAAAATATATTTCAAAAACAACCACTGGTAGCGCACGGTGGTCCAAAATGCATAGGTATTTAGCTTACAAAAAATTATCTTTTAAATTTCACTTCTAAAAATTATGCGATGTATTAATTGATACGCTGAATCAAAATTTGCAGTTTTGAAATAAGTTCTTTTAAGTAATTAGGGGGACAGTAAAGGTGGTTTTTAAAGCAAAATATGTTATCTATAGTTTTAAAATAAACCTAAAATTTGAGACTTTATGGGCAGAACCATGTTCAATGTGGAAGTAGGCAATTTACTTATTAGGATCCATTTTAAATTTAATAAATTATATGTTATTCAATATTTGATATTTTTATTTTATTCTACAACCAGCTGAAACAGAGGTGGTTCTAATAACTATATTTCACACGGACACGGATAATATATACTTATAACCAGGGTTCGGTACTTTTAGCATTTGCATATTATTTTTGAAAGATTAAACAAATAGCAGAGTCAAACGTAAATACTGCCCATTATGTAAGGAATCTAAATTCTAAATTGTGTTAAACATACATTTGCCTATAGCATATTTTATAGTTTTACTTTTTAGAATATATTTGAATAGTACGTATGTAGCCCTACAAGTATTATAAAACATTATAGTATAGAAGATACTCAAATCTTATCTTATTGTATCTGTATGCTGCGGATTATACGTTTTTCGATTTACATTGTTGAAATCCATTCTCACTAGTTTGCGATAGCATAACCGAGTAGACTATCGTAAAATAGTTAATTAGGTTTATAAACAAGTGTTGAGTTTAATCAATAACACTCGAAACACAAAATTCACACTAAAAAATCATTATAGATAATAAAAAAAATGAATTAGGTATACATCAAGTTTTTAGTAGGTATACAAATTTCAATAAAAAAAAAATTGTTTCGAGCATATTTTAGCATATATTTTCATTGACTTTTAAAGCACATTTGTATGTTTTTTAAAGTCAAAAGTCCCTAAGCTTACGATTAATATATACATACATATGTATATTTTTTTAAAAAAACTCACATATAGGTATACTAGAAATCGAGGATATCTAAAATATAAAATATAGATTGTTTTAGTCTTTGTACAAAATATACCTAATTTTCTTCTTTTAGAAAATATTTGTTGTACAGCGCCAGGTACATAGCTACGGGGTTTGGACCCCATTCCTCCTTGAAATTTAAGCTTCTCACCAAAAAATTAGATTATTAGTACAATTATTGGTAGTTGATGATGAATGTTATGTTTAGAACCCCAAACAAAAAAAAAAAATAATAATTCTGGCCACATGCCTGGTTCACATTATATACTATAATAGAATCTATGATCAAGGAGTTAAAATACTGAGAAAAAAAAACTAAGGAACCTTTTCGATTAATAATCAATTTTACTTATACACAATATTGAACAGTTTCAATAAATGAACAACAAACATTTTTTTACGGGCAGCTACCCAATCTACCCGTACGCTAGAACCCCCACTAGCTGAGCTAAAACCTCGATTGTATTATTATTAGTCATCTTTTACAGTTTTACATAAGATAACAGGGTTAAGAGATTTCATCCATAATCAACAATAAAAATACTTATACGTTTTCCCAAAAAACTGACTGGCGCATATCCGAAATTATTTTTAAGGGGAGTGAGCTAACATTGTTTTTTTTTTATAAATACCATTTCAAGTACTTGCAGAACCCAAAAACCAGTGATAATTACTTAGTTATTTTATATACACAAATGTCATAATATTATAAAGGGAATAATTTTAGGTGTAGCAGATTCGTATTTTAAAGTACCTATTAAATTAGAGTCGTATTCTGACTGTGTGGCGCGGCGTTGTGTAAATATTACCGTTTTTCTTGTCGTTTTCGAAACTTCAATACTACCAAAAAAACTTTAAGGAACAATACAATCTTCTGATCGAAAACTTGTTACCGAAAACAAAAATACTACCTAGTAAAATCAACTAATTGTGAAGCTTGTTGTTCACTTGCATAATAGTCCAAGCGCTTGTGTGCGGGGAAATAATTGCAGCGTTCTATTAACAGCAGCGGCAGAGGTCGTGGTCAGAGGTTGAGAGGGTTGTGGGGGACGGTGGAATTTTGTAAAACGAATAAAAGCTATGTGATCCGATGCGTGAAACTATATATAATAAATATATTATTATACATAGTGTTTGTGTCTTGGGAAACATTTCGTTTATAAATGTCAGCGACTCGGAAAACAGCTCGGCCGTATCGAAAATTCAACCCTCGTTCCTTTCCACACCACACCATCCATCGTCGCCCAAAACTTTCACCTCGGCATCATCCTTCCAGCCAAGTTCATAAAGCCGTATTATTAATTTTACCTCATAATAATAATAATAATAATAATATCATATACACAGAGTGGTTTTTTTATTTTTATTTTTTTTTATTATTATACGTCGATTTTATCGGAGGGTGTTAAGTATAAGTATAAAAAAATGGTGTCTATTTTTTCCAATCATTCATTATCAAGTTGTTAAAGTTTTATATAAAATATTTAATTTTAAAGTGTCAAGAAGTCGTATATTACGAAAGTTGAAATTGTTAGGTATGTATTGTATAAATATACATGAATACAAATCATGTGTTGTAGTTTTACTGTTATAATCTGTTCTTCAGTGAATTTTGAATGATCGTGTTCTGTTATTATTTTGTAAATAAGCTGAAAATTAAGTCAACTATTTCCGTTTTTGTAAAAGAATTGTTATTTTTAAAGCAATTTTTAATATTTTTAATACAATTTTCGGTATTTTTTAGTGCAATAGTGCAATTAATTTTACTAGCTTTTTACTACTACAATATCCGTGCTTTAATTATTATATTATATTGATTATTGTTCAAATTACCTATAATTATAAAGCATATTCTGTAATTACATTTTCTAATTGACTTTTATTCTTTTCTCTGAACTTTAAAGAATTATATAAACCTCGAATTTAAATAATGAAAATAAAAAGTTGAAATATCTATGAAAAAAGTTTGAAAAATGAAAAAGTTTACGGAAAAAACGGTTTCCATATTTTTGATTTTGTTTATTTGTTTCAATTCAATTGAAAATAATTTTACAGACCTTCAATTTTCCCAGAATACTTATATTGGCTTTTTCTAGATATGGTAAAATAACACACGCGTATCTACGTTTAAAATTTGTGAAAGATCCAAAAAAGTCTCAGGTAAATTTTGATAAAGAAATAAAATTAAATGAATACAAGTTGTTTAAGGGAAATAGAAAGCAAAAATATCAAATCTGGTGTTAAAAATAGGTGGCTATAAATATATTTTTTTTAAATTAAGAATTACTACAAATGAGTGCAGATTAAAATTTTAAAAATTGGTTATGAATTTGTAATTAAGTATTTCCCTCAACTTCCAATCCGTCGCATGGTTTCTTCGTAGAAAACAACAAAAATTACATTATCAGATTTTCCAGTTATCACATCCGAGAGACTTCTTTGAATACGCTAGAATTTGATTACGGTTAATTTTCTAAGATAAGTGCATTACGTAGGTATAGATACTTAATGTTTACCATAATATTCGTACCTGTATTAACTGAATTTAGAATTTTACGGTATTTGTATTATACGAGATTTGGCTATTAAATAACGAGATTGCGCGCGCAGAGAGCATTCTAAAAAGGTTAGGGGAAAACCGAATACAGCGCTGGTTAGCAGGAAGTGTCTATTATGCCAATACAAAATTGGGTTTTTGTTGATGCATTAGTATTTTTTCTGTAGCGTTTAGAAACGAACATGTTTTTTTCTCTTGCCGAAAACGATGTGTGACGAAAAACATGAGTAACGGATAAACGTAAAATTTTCTCGTTAAACTAAAAAAAACTCCAACTGAGTGCTATAAGTTGTTAAAAGAGGCCTATAGTGAGGATTTCCTATCTCGGGCGTGTGTTTTTGAGTGGCATAAATTATTTTCTGAAGGTCGAGAGTGCACCGGAATCCAATTCAATCGTAATCCAAATTCAAAACCATGCTGATCGTTTTTTTCGATATCAACGGCATCGTGATGACTGAATGGGTTCCAGAGGGTCAAACTGTGAACCAACATTACTATTTGACAGTTTTGGCAACATTGCGCGATTGAATTCGTAAGAAACGGTCGATATTGTGGAAAAACAAGTCGTGGATCTTGCACCAGGATAACGCACCTGCCCATAACGCGCTGTCTGTGAAGCGTTATTTGGCCGCTTAAGGCACTCCAGTACTCGAACACGCGTCTTACTCACCCGACTTGGCACCCTGCGACTTTTACTTGTTTCCGAAGATAAAGTCTGCCTTAAAAGGAATCCGGTTTGAGTCGATGGAAGAGGTGAAACAAAAATCGGCGAAACTCCTGAATGGTCTTACGAAAACAGACTTCCAGCACTGCCTCGAGCAATGGAAGAAACGAATGAAACGGTGTGTGAAGAGGGGAGGAGAGTATATTGAAGGGGAACATTCGGTTGTGGAATAATTTTTAAAATAAAACCATTTTTCATAAGCAGTCTCGTTTTTTAATAGCCAGACCTCGTATTGTAAAATCCCAAGGGAAAATTGTACGAACATTTTTTTTTTTTTTTTTAGCTCTTTCTTCAAAGGGAATGGGTTTTAAGTGAATATTTGTACCCTAACATGACGGAGACACACGTAAATAATGTAATTAATTGAAACTATATTCTTTTAAAATATACTACTACTGTAACACGTAGACGGTCTACAGTTTGACCGATTGTTGGAAAAAAAAAAATGTTATAAATATATTATGAAAACGAAAGGATAGAAAAAAAAAGGCTAATGCTGATGATGGGTGCGCCACTGTTGTAGCTGGGAAGTTGGAAAGATATGATACATAAGGTTATTTAATTTATATTTGTAATCAACGATAAACCATTGCTAACGAAAAACGATTTGGAGCAAAGTTCGTTTATATATGATTTGTTTGGATGTAATATTTTGGATTTTATTTAAAATTTGATCTTAATATTTATAAAAAAAAAAAAAATTGATCCTTTATACTCTATTTTTTTTTTTTTTATCACTAAGTATAACTTAAAATTACTATCTTGTTAAATTTTTAAAAAGTCAAACAATTATATTCACTTAATACCTACCAAATAAAAACTGCGTAAAAAACTCGCAAACATAAGATAAATACATAGTTAAAAAAATGACCACGTCTAGAAAAGGCGATATAATTTTTCTATCAAAATTTCAAGTCTCTATTAATAAGTTTTGTAACAAAAAAACAAAATCTAAAAAAATAAAATAATTATTTCAGTAAACTTTTCCGTTCTTTCTAAATTTTTTTTCGGTTTTGCTCAGTTATTAAAAAAACTATAAAGGAAATTAAAAAATGAATTGCTTTATACTAACTAAACTAAAAATACAAAAAAAAACAGTTTGTTTGTCGTTTTTTGATAGAACCAAGGTTTCTGATAGAAAACATAATTTGTAAAAAATGAAAATAATGAAATCGTATGCTGTAAATTTGTTAGTTTTAGTTTTTCATTTTATTTCGGTTTTTCCCAATTATTATGTTAAATACTGGAAAAATAAAAAAATAACTTACTTCATAAGCAACCAGTTCCAAAATTTAACATAAAAGGCGTTCAACATTTTTTGATAAGCATAATATTTCTGGGAGAAAACATGGTGCATAAAAATTAAAAACAATGAAACCGATTATGCCGTGAATATTTTCCTTCGGAGCAAGTTTTCGGATCGCGTATAAATTGCTGAATCGAGTGTGTAAAACAATTTTTAAACGAATGACTATTTACTACACCAAACATTTGAAAGGATTGAAGTGCATTAAAAACCCTTAAATGGTTTCAAAATGCAAATAAATAAATTTACACACCGTAAAACCAATTACAATAACCAAACGTTTGTACGGACAAATCATTTTCGCAATTTAAAACTTTGAGACTACATTATTTATTACTTGCAAATCTAAATTAAATCCATGAAAAAAAAAAAAAGATTTACATATATACTGTTATTTAAATACTGCGACAGTTTATAGTTCCTACAGCTTCCGGCACTTTTTAGCATTTATCATCCTAATAATAAAATATAATTTTACTTAAATACCTGCAGAATTCAAACAAATGTATTTTTTTTGAAAATTATTTAGTCTAGTTCGCACGATGATTTTATTATTATCACGATAATTGTGAAAACTTAATAGTGACTATCGTGAACTATCAGTGTGTTAACAGGAAAATATGGTATAACTATGAAACAGGCTTATTAATTATGATAATTTTTTCCTGCACAAATATAATTTATCTCACGGTAACGTATGAGGAGCTTCGCTCTGATAATTTCAACAAGGTATCGATTATTTTATAAATTTAAAAAAAAATGTGTAGACCTACAAAAATTAATTCAATAAGATTTGGCTTTTTATTTAGTAAACAATAACTTTCTGAGATATCTTATCAATGGATCATGGAATATTCTGTATAAATAACCTATGTTCAGTTTAATACCTATTGAATCTTTTCTTTTATGCATTACCTTGGTTTTTTACATGCATTATTCGTAATACAGTTAAAATTAATTAAATACCTGTTAATATTTTATGTATTTCTGAAATTCACCGCATATCGTGAGAGCCTACTATCAAACTATCACGCTATCATACATGTCTAATAGTTGGTAGTTACAACCGTGATTGTAACCATCATTAAACAAATGCCACCATCGTTCTATTTTAATTTTATGTCGTTTCACTTTTTCACTGTCGTTTTTATCAAAATTCGCTCTAACAAATCTTCTATATCATTATACAAACCATCATGAATGCTATTTCTATTTCTGTATTTCTGGTTTCGCACCCGCAAACTTTAATTATAATACTTTTATAGTCGGGGAAAAAAAACTAGAAATATTATTCGATTAAAAATTGAAAACAGCTCGAAGGATATTGAAGTGTGCAGAAGGACCAAATTCAATTTTTTGGCGGTAACATAATACGCATTGCATTATAGCTGGGGCAGAAGTCGTTAAGTCTGCATAATGTAACAAGATATCTGACTCTCGGATACCGCACCACGTCCCACCCCACAGAAACGATTGCTTTAAAATTGATAAAACATATGCATAGTATTATTATTACAATATAATATGTGGGGTGCAGACCATTATGTTATCCAAACTTCATACAATATCATTGCATCCGAAATAATTGATTAAATATCGCACCCTAGCTAAAATATACTGCTATTAGACTGTCACTGCAACCGAATGCGTGGCAGTTTTGTTATTCGAATAATGATCGCTAAATTACTATAATATGGTTTTCTGCAGAAATCCGTAGGCCGAGAATTAACCAAGCATTTAACTCATATTCAGAAATAAAAATAAAAGCTTTATAACAATAATACGCAGTTCTATTCGTTTGAATGGAACAGAGAAATTTTAAAATTTAATTTATGTAGGTATATGTACTTTTACTAAGCGCCTCTATTCATTCCGATCTATTGCATTTTCCATTTTCATTGACTCGTTAAGGTCTGAGATTTATATTCTTACCCTGTAGAGGTAATATTCTCTATAAGACTTCCATTAGCCCGCCAAACATGACCGTCCCATTTCAATCGTTTAAATATAAAAAATATTTAAAAAAAAAAAAAAACCAACTTCTCGGAACAGGAAACGAGTGTTGTAAAAATGTCGCGTGTCGCAAGTTGCGTATTTCAGTTAAATAGGTATAGTACCTGTTAAGTTGTTAACATTAAAAAAAAAAAAGAAAAGAAAAACGGTTTTTAAAAACGCGATTTCTCGAATGAGATAATTTTGTATAAATTATATGACAACAATGAAGTTAGGCCATCCGATGTTACGTATAAACAGTATGTTGACATTCTTAAAAAAAAAAAATACAACTAATGTACTTTTTTGGGTGGATTAAATCTAATACTTTTGGACACAATATTTCCGTGTAATCCATAACGAAGATAGCACTTAAGCGAATGGAATGAAAAGACCACTGCGTGTTTATGTTGCCACATAGTTATACGTGATACGTCTACGGTTTTACACGATCACACATATTATAATATTATTATAATGAAAGCCTGAAAAACGGTACTTTTATAAAAAAATCTGAACTCACCGCTCAAAATGTATTATTGTTTTTTTTTTTTTTTTATTCATGCGGTTTAATTCGACCGTTTGTCACGACCCTCACACCTCGCATAGATTTTTCGTCTGTTAAAAAATGTTTTATCACAATTCGTGATAGATATATTATTTTTGTTCAGTAATACTAATCAGTTTTGAGACTAATCTATAGACAATTCATCTAGATCATATTTTGTTTATCTTTTTATCTTTATACTAGATGCAAATTTGAATATTTAGCTGAGGGCCATTTATGAAAAAAAAATTATTAAATTTTAATAATATTATTTATATAGACAAAATGTACCTGTGAATAAAAAAAAATATCTTTTACTCGTTGTATAAAAATTAATATCAAATAACTTAATTATAAGTTTTACTTTTAATTAAAAATTCAAAGTTACTAACTAGTGATTTACACGCTCTTTTCATTTACATAACTATTTTAATAGTGGTTTAAAATTCTATATCCCTATTATAATAATAAAATAGACGATTAAATAACTTTTTTTCATCTAGAATCTAAATAAATTACTAATATCCATTATCTGAAATAACTTAAATATCATCTTTATTTAAGTTTGTATAAGCTTAGTCCAATTATTTTTTATTTTTATCTAGATAAATTTTACATGTTTGCGTTTCAACACTGACGATAGTTCTTTAAAAAAAAAAAAAAAAAATGCCGGTACATTATTTCATCAATAATACGCAATTCAATAATAATATCGTAATGTAAACACGGTAGGTACCATTTCATATTGAATTAGTGAAATAATGCCACTGATTTCTAGGGCAGAGAAGCTCTTTTATGAGCTAACTCACTCATATAATCAAATATGCAAAGTGCACACAAATGTCGACAACGAAAATGTAAAACATGAAAAAAAAATGTTTTACCATAGGTAGGCACATATTTTTATTAGGTATATTTATCTATGTGCTTTAAACCATGCGATAACTGTTTCGATACGTTATTAGTTTATTGTTGCCTGTTATTACGACGTGTACAATATTTTTTAATTTTTTATAGTTATTATTGAAACACCGATAGCATTAATTGATCTCACACGTAGATATTGTAAAAAAAAAAAAAAATCATATACGCATGTAAACTATGCCAGGATAAAACAAAACACATATTACTATGTGAAGTTTCGTTTAATATCGATGTGTTAATTTCCGATCAATTATATAGCTGCTTTGCACTAGAAATTTAAAAAAAAAAAATTGGATGAACGAGTGATAATGCTGTTTTAAAGGTGGGAAGTAGGGAAATAGTGCAATCAATTCTTTTTCCGCCACCAAGTATAACGGATTATAACAAGTATTATTACGGAGCTAAACAAATTTAATTCACATAAATCGAAAAATAGTATGCAAATTGTTGGTGGTACGGCTTTCTGCGAAATCTCCAAACGATTATATATAAAATATATAATAACAAATTGTTGTCATAATAGTATAAGTAGGCATAAGTTATCGAACGAAATATCTTAAAATTTGAATACACAATTTGATACAGTGACGCACATTTGTTTAAATGCGGAGAGGGGCTGGAGAATTACAAAGACTTTCTTTATCACAAAACCGTTATTGCTATTCTACATCAAATTCCAGATTAAATAAATAATTTCTACGTGCATGGTTTTATAAATACAGAAATCTTCAAGGGGGGCTTCCGATTCGGGGACCTCTTCCTGGTTGCGCCCACTGATTCGATAAGTTTAATCAGGTACGCGATTTCATCGAAAAACAAAAAACATTGAGTTTCACTAGAGATTAAAAAAAATATTATTTTTTTTTTATACTACGAGTGTATTATATCAGTCACTGTCCACAACACAAGTTTGAATTCTTTTGCAAACTTTTCAACTTGATTGACTGCAGCGTATAAATAGTGTATACTGCAATATTTTTTTCCACCCCTATAAACTACACCTAGCGGCTGCTTTAAAGTTTATATAAATTTATGTATATTATTATTATTTAGATTTAAGATTATGATTGGCAAATAATTAAAAGTTTAAGTACCTACGCACAAAATAATTTATTATGATTTCTAGATACCTATATTTTAGATTAATTTTTTTGTTTTTTACATTATGAAACGTTCGGGTGATTCGGACAGGTTTTCATGAACAAGTTTCGTGCGCTACAAGCGTTTGAAAAATTAAAAACAATATCTGATGTTGTGTATATAAATATTATATAGCTATGTTTCGGTATGATATGCGAATATAGAATTTATTTTTTCTCTGAACAAATCACGCGTGAGAATAAAATGCCGTCGTCGGTAATAATTTTTATTATGAGCTTGGGGTATAAGCCATGTGGATGACTCATATAATTGATATTACTATTATAACTGACGCATGTTGTACCTGTATACAAGTAGAAGAATAATAATTATTATATTAAATTATCCGCTGTCTAACCTGTGTCTGGAATAGAAGCATACTCGACGGACTTGGGTACGACGAGCCGGCAGAATGATGATATACTTCGTTGGAAGTATCTTCTTTTCCTGAAAAATACGAACAAATCACGCGATAAATACATTAACGATGGCTTACCTAGTATAATATTATCAAAAGTCCTGTAAACTCGTAAACAGTGGTGCCTAATACGTAAGTATTTCAGTTAAGTGGCGGCATTTGGGCGGGGATGGAGGACATGAGGGTGCAGTTGCACATGCGGACGATTTTGCTAATGGAGAAAAACAAATATAAAATCACGGACAACAGATGAAAATTTTAAAACAAATAAACTAGTGTTTTATACTATTATACAATAATATAGTAAATAAATAATACCTAATAGATACATCGTTTTAACATTTGAAATAAGAGCAAATAATAATGTAAAACTAATAAGATAGTAATATCGATAGTCTAATCGGTAATCTGTATATTATTATTATATTATATGTTTACAATTTAACGGTCGTCACCATTATTGTATTGATATTGTACTTGTAAAAATAATTTTATTAACGGTTGGTGTTTAGACCACATCATAATATGGAATTTTAATTTGATAAATACATTAACTTAACTATTTTTGTGGTGGTTGTGGTTAAATATTAATAAAATATTTTAAGGTAATGTGGGAGCAAAGCTTGAATGATAATTCCCTCATGAGTTTCTACACCGGGTACCGCTTATAATGTAAGTAATTAATTTAACTGTACTTCGGGTGCAATAATTGAACTGTATTGTAAAAGAGTCGTGTCGGATCAGTAGGTGAGTATAAAATCAATTAATTTACTCAATGACTTAATTTAAATCCAAATAAGCATAGAACAGCACAAAATGATCTGTAAACTATTTCGTTCATTCTACCATTTTCTTCGGTTTTTCCCAATTATTAAAAAAGTCACTTTGAAAATCCAAAAAACCACTTGTTTATTCGCCAACTAAATTAAAAACCCCCAAAAAGATATCTCGTCGTTATTCTCTTTGAGTAGTTTTCTAGTAGAAAACATAACATAATAGTGAGTACAAATTAGTAAAAACAAAGAATAAATAAAACGTAAATATTTCCCGAATCCGGGTTTTCCAAATTATTTTGCATACCCCTCGGAAAATCGAAAAGTGATTACTCTCACGCACCGACTAGACCTGAAATTCAATGAAAAATAGGTGTTTAGTCCTTTTTTTTTTTTTGATTGGCGCATGTTTTCTTTTGAAATGTTGTTTTCAGACAGAAAAAATTACACATCATAGTAAAAGACTAATAGATCCTTCGCTACGCTCCTAATCTAAAATTATGTGACGTCTCGTTAGGTTATAAATCGCACCTTGTAATTTTTACAAAGTTTTTGTCATCCGTTGAATTATAATAATATTATGTGAATCGGATCCGAGGAAAACCGAGAAATGCCTGTTGAATTCTAGAAGACTGAATATATTTTAATAATATTATTTAGTGATTATTAGTGTTTTACACTACAGATATTATCGATGACATGTAGTTAATTATAAAACATTACCATGATTTTGTAAAATTAATATTGGTAAATAATATTAAGTTGTTGTTCCACTATACGTACACTTTATCGGTCTGATTATAACATCTCTATAATATAATAGTATATTATATAAAAAAAAAAAAACTATTTTATGAGGAATGTTCTCACGACATATCCGCGTGTAGAAAAAAAATATAATAATAATTACTATAGGCTATCTAAAGTACTGAAATTGTCGATGAATTTCTGAACACGACAAAGAAAATGAACGGACATAAACTTTGCACTACGAGTGGGCCGCTGTTGTAGGTGAGAAGTTATAAAGGTTATATATAAAGAAGAATTAAATTTATATCCGTACGCAACGATTAATCATTGCTAACGAAAAATGATTCTGAGCAGAGTACTAGGTCAACAGTATTGTTTTTTTAATAATGTGCCTTTTCACGACAACGATATTAATAAAAAAAAATTAAAAAATTGTTTAAATAATATAAACTTAATAATAACAAAAAATAAATAAAAACCGTTGCCAATAATGACAATCTTATTTTTAATCTTTTTACTACGACACACACACACACACACATACACATTTGGTAGTTTTACTGACCTTTTCTGTAAGACGACAGCATTATACTATTGGTTATGTGATTTTCGACCGAGACAATTATCAAATGTACAATAGCGTTCTAAAATCCGTCATCATTAATAGCTAATATTTCAAGAAGAACCAAATAAAAAAGAAAAAACCGACTACCGATATCGTGTCGCTGTTTCTCACGTCGTGGCCGGCTGCTAGTTCGTATAATAATATCGCAGAACCTACTGAATACTGGCATATATGTGTGTTTACCATCCCTGCCTATGTGAGTAAGTGTATCCCTTATACCGAAACGAAAATGGGCGGGACTAGTCGCTCGCCCCCAAAAGGGACCTCCTCCTCATAGCTGACATAGACCAATATATAGTAATAATAACAAGAACAATAAAAAAATACGACGTCCGCGCGGGTCTTAAACGATTATTATCATAAACCGTTGTGTTTTGACATGCGCGCGCTCTCCTCGGGTTTCTTCTGGCCATATTATTATTATTGTTGTTGTTATATTACAATAACCGGCGCCAGGGATAGTAATAACAATAATAATAACAAAAAAAAACCGGCACGTTTCACACGATGGGTGGGCCACTGTTGTAGGTGAGAAGTTAGAAAGGTATAGGTTTTAAAAGGGAGATTAATGTATTTTGGTATGCAACGATTAATCGTTACTATCGAAAAGCGATTCTGAGCGGTTAAACATGTTTTGAAACTGTATGTATTACGATTTTCGTTTAAATTTGACACTAAATTTCGTATAAAAAAAAATAACCTAATGCATTAAAATTAATTTTTTTTCTCGTTGAATACTAATCACCTCTAATATTGAACCTCCAGTTAAATTTTCAAACATTTCTGTATGGTCCATCAATTTTATCCACCGAGTAGATATACCTATACTTATTTTATTTTTATAAATTAAATAAATAAATAATAAATAGCTATAAAATATAAAAATTTAATCACTTCTAGAGAAGGCAAATAAAAGTTTTCTGCCTGAATTTCAAGTCTCAACAAACATTATTAACTGAATAACAACAAAAATAAAATTTAAAATAACATAACTGCGAATTTATTAGAGCGAAATCATACTTATAAGTGCGTATAATATAGTAAAGGCTAGTTTTACAAAAGTCACTTTACCCTTAACATAGTTATAATTTTTCATAACAATTTAACTTCCACTAGTTGAAAAGTTCGGTGAACTTCCCGAGTTTTTGTAAATGCAGCAGATTGCTACTGGAGCAGAAATTTATCGTGCGACCAGAGACGCTGAAAAGCATCGTTATTACGGCTCAAGACGCTCGTAATCTAATTCGTCCATTATAATGGTTCGTATAATAATGAAACATTCCGAATATTCATCGCCGCATACTGTATAATCTCGAAGTCGTATTCTATATCGCCCAGTATACCTGCGCATTATTATACAATCTCAACTCCAGAATATATCCCGACACAACAACAATATCGTTACAATCCGACGCAATCATATAAATTCCCGGTCGTACGCGGGGCGATCGGTTTGAAATATCAACTGCGATTTGTTTGTTACGGTCACTGCGCAGCTGACTTCCACGGTAAACTCGTGATAAGAATAATACGATATAATATTATTACGCTGCATTAACGGATTAAAATGATTCGCGGGCATTGTGGAAAAAAAATCCTAATATTAATGAGTTAAAAAGTTAACTTTTAATTTAACTTTTAACACCTTTGGCTATTTATTACCCAACTAAACTTATTTATGTTCACATCATGCTGAATGTACCGATAAAATATTGAAAGTCGATTTCGAATTGTATCTCGTCAAGTCAATTTCAATTTATATTAATTTTAACACGATGTTAAATTATTAAATTTACAACTATATTTACACAATACACTATTTAGATTGGTAAGCGCCAGTCTATCTTATAAGTAATAATTTGTTATTATTATTCAATAACGTGTATGAAGTTAAAGTAAGTAAAATATATTTTGATTTTGTGCGAGTGAATCCTGTGTTCAGCATTGACAAAAAAAAAATTAAATAAAAACCAACTCGGCTTAATTACAACAATAATAATATACAATAAAAATACTAAATAGTTGCTAAGATTATTTTTAAATTAGGTACAACAAAACTCAAAAGTAAAAACAACGGAAACTGGTGTTGATTAAACTTTCCCGATTTACCCCAATTATTAATAGATTTACAAAGAAAAAAAATGACCTTTCCAATTCATAAATTAGAGAACATTTTCTTGCAGAAAATACACTTCACGTCTTGATACATACTGTTCTACTGTACTTCTACAAACAAAAATATATACGGACATACTTCACACGGTGGGGGGCACTGTTGTAGGTGAGAAGTTTGAAAGGTAGTAGAGGGGGAATTTATTGTATAAACCATTGCTAACGAAAAAACGATTCTGAGTGGAGTTCGGTTGATAGTGTTGTTTTGTCAACAATATGTTTATCATATAATGGTAAAATAACTACATAAGCATTATAATTTTCTTTAATAATATTGATTAATATTGTACCTATTTTCCCGTTTTTCCTATGTTTTTTCCCATTTATTATGAAAACAGGGAAAATTAAAAAAAAGACCTTCCTAAAGTACCACCCCAGCCAGATTTTCTTTCTTAAAAAGTGATATACTTGTAAACAGGTGCAAAATTGCTAGTAGAAAAGTTGTTTACAGAAAATAAACATCATTGTAAAACCAATACATTCTTCGCTGTGCTCATAATTTAAAATAAAACAAGCACACGTCTAAAACGAACAATTAATGTTTTTAAAATTAAATATATATCTGTTACAACCAAGTATATAATACTTAACAATACGCATAGTTTCTTATTGGATGTTTAGTTACCTACCAATATAGATAAAAAAACATCTATGACTCTAATCATGTATCTAAACCCGAGTAAGTTGTCGAGTTAGTGATTCTTAAGTTAAATGTATTTTTAAATTGATAAATAGGTGCATGCATTTAGAAACTTCTTAAAATTGATACAATGTACAATTTTTATTATTTTATTAAAAAATAAAAAATCATCATGCTACAGGATAAGTTGTAATTTATATAGAAATAAAGTATACAAGAAAATTCTGGCGTACGACATACTTATAATTTTGTTATAAATTATAAAAATGTTCACTTACCGTTTTAAAATAAACTTCTATTTGAGAAAGGCCGAAAATTGACTTGCATATGGTGATAAAAGAAATTCGTAAACAAAATCATTTTTGTTTTTATCAAAAACAATTCTAATCAGTAAAATGTTCCTAACATCATTCTATAATAATTTGTTAATAACAAAATATCGCAATTCGGTATAATCTACTTTGAGTTATTGTTATTATTAATTCGTTATCTTACCAAGCTAATCAACTTGCCTGGGATTGCTCTATATGAATCGATATAATATAATGATGGAAAAAAAAAACGATAATATTTACTAAAAATGCATATATTCACAATACGTATAAACCGAATAATTAGGCGTATATAATAATAATGATATAATATAGTGCATTTTACAGTTAGCATAATATGAAGTATAGACATATTCATATACATGACGTACATTTCATTTTTGAAACTTGATGGCGATGCGGTACAAAAATACTATTTTATTATAATTCCTACAATCTATATTATATAATAATATTTTTAACGAATATACACAAGGTCGGGCTGGCCTATACTTTAAACTTTAATAGTCAGTGAGGCCCTGTCTGTTTTAAGTCTTTTTTTTTTTTTTTCATGTACATATTATGTACCTCTTATTTTTTTTACATCCCACAATATCCTCTCTCTCTTTCTGTCCCGAGTCATCATCCCCCAAGTAAGTATTTAATAGTATAGTTTTGTTTTTTTTTTTTTTTTTTATGAAACTTTGTAAACACAATTATTTACAGCAATTAATATTCCGTTGAGAAACAATGGTTAAAATTACGAAAAAACCAATAGAAAAAAAAAATTTTAATATAGTATAGTAACCGCGGATAGTATATATATATATAATAGTATCTACAGGTCGTGGAAACGACATCGGATCGTGATCAAGTATAATAGATACCTATGTTATAATATTATACACGTACATTTCGTAATACATATATTTATATAAAAAAAAAATGAAATAAATACACTTTATAATTATTATCCATGTACTACACGGTGCAAGTGCAATATAGTATAAATAGCCCCGTTTAACGTCATCGCGGTGCGCCGTGAATTGCGATCGTGTTTGCATATTATATATATATATATATATATATACGAGGTACGTGATGGTCATGATTGTTTTTTTTTTTTTTACATTATATAAAAAAAAAAAAGAAACAGAACTCATTCTCCGATGATTTTATAACACAATAATAATATTATCTACAAGTGTAAAAAAAAAAAAAAACTTATTCGACAATGGCGTTCCAAGTAGTATTATGATTCTCAATAAATTACTGTTTCGAATACCTATAGGTATTATTATAATTGGAAAATTGGAAAATCGTACGGTTCTATCTACGGTTTGCACTCAAGTAATACCAACTGTGAATTCGATTGACTATAAAACGCTAGACCCATACGTCGTTATTAGATATTATTGCAACTTGTTCATATACCTATATGTACTATGCAGTATTGTTATTTGGGAAATGAGTACCATCATATAGACGACGTGCAGTTTTATTTATACCTCTTAAGCCCGAACGATGGTGGCAGTGGAGCCGAAGCCTATAATATTATATGTACGACGAGTCACCTAACCGCATATCTACAGAAAATGTATATATTTTCTACCGAATATAAACAATTTATTCCCTAGGTGTATAGTATAATACCTATTTATTAGTTATTACTATGTATGGTACATACCAATTATAACATGTTGTCTTAACCTAATTTATTCTCAATAAATAATTTTTCATAGACTTACACTATTTTAAAATACGGGAAATAGACCAAATTAATTGTTTAGTTATAAACTGACCATGACAGATAACAGCTGTATAACACTTTAATGATTGTTACTTGTGTTATGTATATCACATTTTTACTTTACTGTACGGGGTATCTACCACCCAAAAAAAAGCGTTTATGCATGGCGACCGTATCATAGATGCGGCGTCCGTACAATAATATATTAGTAGAATGACAGTAGGTGACGACAGGAAAATAAAGTTTATGGAAACATCTATGCAAGTACGACACGACTTGCCTAATAGAACGATAGTATATTATGACGTATATTGTGATAGTAACTATCACTCTCACAGTTTCAAGATAGTAACTATCAATTTTCACGCATGCATGATAGTGATCACACTATCGTGAAATAAAACATGGTAATTGGTTTCACGATATTTTGAAATGTATTATCGCCCTGTTCACCAAGGATAGTTCAGAGTAACTATATCATCGTATGGACCAGTCTTTATTCAAATTCCAAACGTGTGATACAATTTAACGGCTTATCCAAATCGCAATATTTTTTTGAAAATTAATCATTTTCAGAACAAACCAGAAGACACTTATTGCACTAATCATCATAAGATCTACAGAGATAGTTTTAGCAGACGATTGAATCTGATTGCAGGTGCGTTGGGAAAGTTATTTTAGATTCTGAGCGGAACGAGTAACGTATTAGTCTTACAATGATGTTTATTTATTTATTTTATTATCTACGAACTACTTTTTTACCAGCTTTTTTGCTCCGATTTTCAAATATAGCACTTTTTCTGAAAGGAAATCTAACTAGAGTGGTACCGTATAAGGAGGTTATTTTTTTATTTTGCCAGCTGTTTTCATAAAAAATGGGAAAAACGAGAAAATTTACGACATTTATTATGTTCTATTCGTAAATTTTACGGCTTTCAAAACATATATAACCGAACTCCGCTCAGAAACGTTTTTTGTTAGCAAAAATTAATCGTTGCGTACAGATATACATTAAATTCCCCTATATACCCTACCTTTCCAACTTTTAAAGCTAGACAAAGTAACAAGTTGATAAAAACTGCAAGTACACACAAACTTTGATGTACTGAGATTCAATTATTTCAAATTGAACTTTTAGTTTGTTTATGTTTATTTCGAAATAATTATTATTATGCGTTGACTCGAGTCACTCTTAAAAAGATCCTCATTAAAAAAAATAATTCTTAAATTTATCGATAATAATTAAGTTGTATTAGTTACTGATAGCAAACTAGTTAACTTGATATTAACAAAATTACTTATTGTTTTAACTTTTTTTAACGGAGGTTTACCGAAAGTTAAAATCAACTGAATTCTTGTTTGAATACAAAATATGTACTGAATAATATCCAAGTGTTGGTTCAAATAATAAAAATGTATAAAAAAGTAATTTCCTTGACCTAAATGTAAAATTTATCCACGTTTCAAATATTATTAGTAAGGTGGAGATTCCATAGGTATTCGGTATTCCATGGAAAACATTTTTTATTTTTGCTATTTTTGCTGTTTTTGATAGAAAACGGTATTCCGTAAAATAAATGCACATAGTAAATTAATATCATATTACATATTATTATTTCTCAAGTTTGTTATTTTTTGATAACACAAAAACTCTTTTTCATCCTTCATACTCAACCACAAACGATAAATAAGGTTTTAAATAACGTTTCTAAAATTATGAGTTTCCCGCTTCTGACGAATTTTTAAAATTCACATTAATTGCATATCGTATTCGCACACTGTTTTCGAGCTGGATTTGAATAGTGACAATGTAACTGTTAAGAACTCAACAAAAATCCGTTGCCATATAGTAAGGGAACCTAATTCCGGTTTTGTTTTTGTTATATATTTGCCGTTCAAAGTTTTTAAAATGCAAAGTATTCGCACGAGTCCACAGCAACACCTATTCTATTAAATTATAGCTAAATTGTCTGGTATTTTTCCGGACACATTTATTCAAAAACAAAAATCAATAAGAGAAATTTAATTTAACGTTTCTCTCCGATTCTACCATTATGCCTATCGTAGTTAATCGTTATCGCCCGGTAATTTATCTAATTTAGGTACTTCCTTGTCTGTGGCGACTAAATTAATTAAAGTAATCATTTTTTTGTTTTATTACATCCGCGTCACTCAGGTGATAACCTCCAGAAATAAAAAAATAAAAATCCAATTTTTTTCACATTCAAAAGTTATTAAAAATCAAGCGTGTCAAGGGTTACATTCCGAGATAAAAAAAACAGTCGATCTTCCTTTTATTTTATCAGTAATAAATGTCATCTATATTTAGATAGATTTCATAGATTTTGATTATGTTTGTACGTACCGCACAGACATACTCGTACAGATAGACTTTATACGAGACGAGGAAACGACCGTGAAAATTTAAAAAAATTATTAATTGATTGATAACCACGCGTATCAGGAAATCCAACATAATATTATCTTATCTTATCATAAGTAAACGTATCGAATTTTATTAAATGCCTATACATCGATGGTGTTTTGTTAATTAATGGGCATATACCACTAAAAATCGAAAAATACGATTTTGCTATCGAAAAAAATCAGAAAAATTAGAAACATAAACTGGTAAAACAAAAAAGGGCCTATTTTAATACAGGAAAGTTAACTTAAGTTAGTAATCTCGTTTAAAAAATATCCAGGGGTCCTTTTAAAATATAATTGACACTAATTCGTTAAAAGAGCGTATACTGCATTCAATGCATGTATACTCCGTGTATAAGATATGTGTACGAGAAATTTTTTGATTTCCACGATCAATATCATTAAAAAATGTGTATTTTTTTTTTTTTTTTTTTGGAAAACAGCTTTTTTTTGCTTCCTTAAAAATGTAAAAATTACCAGACGCCCTTTTAACCAAACATCGTCGATAATACGCGTTTGTTACTATCACGCATATTATACATATATTTCGGTGTTTTTAAGTTGCGCAGTTGTGTGATTTTCTTTTATAAGAAAAACGAAATTACACACGAGTCGCGAAATCTCGCTCTATTATAGGTACCCGCGTCGTCGGTGTATTTTTTTTTTTTTTTTTATTATATTATATACGAATACGAACAACTGCATTTATCTGCAACGGGGCAGCGAGATGCACCGGGACGCGCCTCGAGCCGCGGACCGAAATAGACGCGTACCGATTTAACGCCGATTCCCGATCGCGGGCCCGATCATTCCTTATTATTT